AAATTGGTATTTTAATAGGAATTGCATTAAATCTATATAACACTTTTGATAGTATGGCCATTTTGACAATATTAATTCTACCCATCCAAAGGCATGGGAGATCCTTTCATCTTCTAAGGTCTTCTTTAATTTCTTTCTAAAATCACTACTCTGCGATTTCATCTCACTTGAATCAGAATGGCAATTATCAAGAATACTACAATAATAAATGTTGACAAGGATGTGAGAGAAAAGGGAAAAGTCCCATACATGTGTGGGACTGCAAATTGATGCAACCACTCTGGAAAGCAGTATGGAGATTCCTCAGAAAACTTGGAATAGAACCACCATTTGATTCAGCTATCCCACTCCTCAGTTTATATCCAAAGGATTCAAAATCAGCATACTATGGGACACAACCACATCAATGTTTACAGCAGCTCAATTAACAACAGCTAAACTATGGAACCAACCTGGATGCCCTTCAACAGATGAATGGCTTAAAAAATTTGGTATATATACACAAAGGAATGAAATTATGGCATTTGCAGGTAAACGGATGGAACTAGAGAATATCATGCTAAGTGAAAAAAGTCAATCCCAGAAAATTAAAGGCCAGATGTTTTTGATATGCAGTTGCTAATTCACAATAAGGCGGGAAACTAGGGAAAATCAGAGGTACTTTGAATTAGGCAGAGGGGACTGAAGGTAGGGGAGGAGGTAGGGAGGTAAGTAGGATAGTAAAATGAATCAGACATTATTACTCCATATACATATATGATTACACAACTGGTGTGATTCTACATCACGTACCCAAAGAATAAGAGGTTATACTTCTCTTCTGTATGATGTGTCAAAATGTATTCTACCTTCATGTATAACTAATTAGAACAAATAAAAAGAACTGTTTTGTCCCTTTTGATTTTAAGTGAACTTTTAGAAAATAATGTGCATTGTAGATACGTTAAAAACTGATGAAACAAAAAGAGGAAACTGGAAGCTAGCAGTAACCACTCGACCCAGAGGATGGTGATTAATGATTTGACATGTTTCTTTGAACACTCTTCCCTGAAATGTGTTTGTAGAGAAGAAAAGATGATGGTTGTGGCATAGAGAGAATGGGAATTAATGCCTCTGTATGGTGTTCTGCAGGCTTCACACTAGTTTCTTTACTCCTCTGAAAGATATACTTTTTTCATATCTATTGTTCTAAATTTCCCTGCATTAGGAAATAACTTCCATATGAGTTAGGACTATTGCTCATGTCAGATATCTGAAAAAGTAATGATACAAATGATTTTTCTCTATATAAATGAAGTCTAGAATTAGGCAGTCCTGTATTTGTGAAGTGGCTCCATGGTATCACTATCTTTTAGCTCATGGCTTCCATTCATAATGTTACCTCATGGGTCCTATGTAGCTCCTGGAGCTCCAGGCCATTTCATCTGCAGTCATGACAAAGAAGCAAGGAAATGGCTTAGCCTCTCTCTTTTAAGGACCCTTCCCAGAAGTCCCATTTACACTTTTAGTTATATTTTTGCTTTATAGTTTTTAACTAGTCAAACCTCTTTTTGTTTATTACTTTCTGATCTAGGTACGATATTAAATAAATCTTACCAACTAGGTATTATAAAAATATTTTCATATATCTTCTGGAAAATTTAGAATTATCTTTTCTTACTCATGCCTATAGCATGAGGGAGGAGTCTAAACTTGTTTTTCCAAGTGACTGCCCTAGGGGAATGTTTTTAACCTCTTACAGCCACTAGCTGGGACTCTTCCCTAGAAAACACAGAGAAGGGTCCAAAGAGTTCCCAGAGGAGAAGGAAAACTCAACTCAAGACAAGCAAGGTCCCTGGCATTTGTGACAGAAAAGAATTTTAGCACAAACCAGACAAAGGCATAGACGGAGGTGTATTTAGGAAGGTAGATATACCTTTAGGGTAGAATGTGGGCTGTCTTGAGAGGTAGAAGCAGTCCTGACTTGGGCTGAGGGTCCAGTATTTATTGAAGGGCTGTATCAGGGGCCAGACTGGAGGTGGATCCAGGGTGGAGCTGCAGTATGAGCCAGTTTTCCCTGCACTTGTGTATTTACCTCATTTTACAAGGGTATGGGCCAAGGTTTACAGCTGTGTTCTCTGCATCTCAATGGCTTGAGGGTGTTTCCCTTAAGATTGTGCATTTCTCTCTCCTTATCCTAAATCCACATCTCACCTTGAGATTGGGGGCTGCCTATCAACTTTGTATCTCTAGCACAGTTTTGCAGCTTCCTCCATAGCCCTTGGATGAAGAAGTGAATAAAGCCTAGCCCCCTGTTATTCCTTCCATGTAGGTCCTCTCACCCTCATACTGGGATTGAATACAGGGTTGCTCTACCACTGAACTACATCCACAGCCCTTTTTATTTTGGGACAGAGTCTTGATAAATTGCTTAGGGTCTCACTAGTTTGCCCAGGCTGGCCTTGAATTTGCTGTTCTCCTACCATAGCCTCCCAAGTCACTGGGATTATGGGCATGCACCATCATGCCTGGCTATTCCTTCCATTTAGAAGTTTCCTTCCCAGTAATACAATAGGATGCACTTTAATCTTATCATTACCTCCAAATTCCATCTCAGGCTACTTCCTAGAATGTTTGTTAAGCAAAATTAATCCTTTTAATGCTATTTGGATTTTAATTAGCTTCAGCTCTGTGGATCACATTTTTTTGTGTGTAGTTTACTTCAGAAAGCCTCTTTCTATGACTAACTACAAACCATATTTCCAAGACTCCAGTGCTTAGAGGACCCTCACAGGGCCACTGAGGTGGCTGCTCATTCAGGAACTGTTCATGGTGGATCTGCCACCTGCATTTTCTTTTGCTTGATCACTGGATAAGGCAAAGGCAGGCCAGACACAGATCCCACCCTCAGGGAGCCCATGGCACCACCATAAGGAGGAGTCTATTTTGATGAGTGTGGGGGTAGGAAGATGGAAATGGCATGACCTGGCTGCCTGCTTGATTGTGGCACCCAGGAGCAGCAGGGGAAGCTGAGACTCTGGCAGCCAGCCTTGGCAGAAAGTGGAGCACCATCCATGATGGTGCGGAGTGAGAGGAATAAGGCTCCCTTTACGAGTCGGCAAATGACTGATCTTGCTTGGGAAGGTGAGCAGAGAGAGTAAGTTGGATTGTGTTATTAGAGATCATCTTCTTTCTTATCTTCACAAGTTTCCTCAGCACTCGTGAATAAGAATCTATTGAGTGCTGAGCATGATGGTTCACGCCTATTATCCTCATCACTTGGGAGGCTGAGGTAGGAGGATCAAAAGTTCAAAGGCAGCCTCAGTAATTTAGTGAGGCTGTAAGCAACCTGGTAAGACCTTGCCTCAAAATAAAAAATGAAAAAGGATGGGGCTATGGCTGTGGTTAAGCATCCTTGGGTTCAATCCCTGGTTTCCTGGTACCAAGCAACAATAACAACAGAAACTATTGAGTTCTGTAGAATTTTTTCTTTTCTTTTTTCCTTTCTGGTGGAGTGTGTCCAGGATGGGATGAGGGGAGCTTTGGATGCATAGAAGCAGGTAGAACTCTAAGGAAGAACTACGGAGGACCCCTGTTTTTTAGTAAATAGGAATAGACCATACTCTTCATTTTATAACCAAGCTTAGGAACGAAGTTGATCATCTTGGGTCTGTTAATCACTGTGTCCAAAGTTAACAGTTCCATCTTTGCCAAGAGCCCTATTTTAGAAAATTAAGTAAGGGCAAAGTTCAAAATACCTCCTCCCTCATCTCCCTTAGTACCTTCAGTCTCTCCCAAGCTCAGTTCCGGCTTAACCAGCAATACATTAACTTGGTTTTCCTGCTTATTTATTCTCACTTACTGCCTCTGAGTCATGGTCTCTTCTCTAATGGTTACTGCCTTTGTTACGCATGACCCTTGATAACCATGACCTGACCCACAAGCAGTTCTTTTTTGTTCCAGTTCCTTTATCCCTGCTGAGGACCAAAGGCAGAGCTAGATGAATCTGGAGGCAAACTTCCCCAAGAGTTCAGGAACTACATGAAGATATTTAAATGCCCAAGCACTGAAAAGATGACAGCATTCGCCTCCCTCAATTGTCCAAAGTAAAGGCAACATGAAACCAGACAGGGAGTGTAAGGAAGCGAGTCTTCTCACAATGTCTTCTACTATGATGCTGGTTTGGCAATAGCAAATTCTTCCTGCCCAGACTTCTAAGTCCTTGTCTACTGGTCCTGGGTTCTGCCTATCTGTTGGGCAGATAACTTTAAATTATATATCTGTGTACATCTGAGGGCAGGTCTACGAGTTTCAATTGTAAGGAAAAGAGAAACCAAGCCGGGGTCATCAGGATGAATCCAAGGGAAGCCAGCATGAAGCTGGTGTCAACCTTAAGAGATTCAGAGGACCCAATAGTCCCAAAAGGGTCAGAGGAGGAGCCAGGCAGCAAAGATCTAATCATTTTAAGCTGAATTTACTAAATGTACCTTTTTACTTATTTTGTTATATAGTCTTTAACTTTGTGAGGTCAGCTTCCAGGTCGTGTTCTTTATCCTTGTTCCCTCTCAGCACATACAGTCATAGGCACTAGAATTCTAGTCTTCCCAGAACATCTGCCAAGTCCCTCCTATGTATTATCTTCTTTACTCTTCATAACAATACTCCAGAATAGGTATTAGTTTAGCTCCTAATTATTAGCTCGTGATTTAGTCACAGATTGACCTAAGAATATGCTCAAGATCACACATTTAGGAAAAACAAAAAAACACAGAGCCAGGATTCAGATCCACCTTTATTCTGCCAAACCCACACTTATCTCTACTAACATGCACCTGGTGTTACTAACATTTGGTTTTAGTTTAGTTTTAAAAAATATTCCCACAAATTGTTAGTTATACTACCATGTATTTTACAAATAAGAGTGAATTCCTATTTTGGTTATCTTAAAAATAAAATAATCAAAGAGCATTCTCTTTTTATTGAAGGACTCTGTGGTGCAGTTTTTATAGGAAAGAAGGTGGAATTAGAGGGGACCATCAAAGAAAAGTCAGATCCAAAGATACTGGAGGGATCTTCCTAGACCTGAATTCTGGAGACGGTTCTTACCTTTAATCAAGCTTGCCCAGGGATTTTGTGGTTCAGTCATGGAGAGTGACGGAGAATCTGAATATTGGCTGCTGGCTGGAGCCAATGAAGAATAGAGGCGTCCATGACCCTACATGACTCCCTTGTCCTCGCCGTGGTTCATCTACAATTAGGAACGGGCAAAGGACACAAAACAAAACAGACCAACGGAGGTTCCTACTTGGAGAGTTCCAGGGGTGGTGTGAACAAGTCACTTAGGAAGAAGGAATTCTCACCTCCATTACTGCAGTCTTGTCTTCAGACGAAGCGCTGAAGCGTGTCTCTCTGGGTTCTATTTCCAGGGGAACCTGAAAACTTTGCCAATGGCGCCTTAACAAGTCAGTATACAGGGGGCGCTGCGAGGGAGACTGCCAGGCTGGAGGAGGGACTTCCGGCCCCAGCTACTTCCGGTGTCTCTGAGCAGCCTTGTCAACGGTGCTCTTGTTTAGTTTGTATCTGCTCCAAAGTCGGTTTATAGTAACGACACCAGCGACCTCCCAGAGGCCTGGATCTCAGTTCAGGGGCCCTCAGCACTAGTTGAGCAGAGTATTTTCCTCAGATGTCTGAGTTTCTGCTTTTGGGGACCCTCCTCAAATTTTAAATTTGGTAATTTCCAACTTGTCCCTAATTCCAATCTGAGTGGTAGCTGCTTCCAACAGTTGCTATTGCCCAAATAATTGAATGTTGTCACCTCTTCCTACTTTTGCAGTTACCTACTTTATACCTGGTCAGGTTCTTTAACTTCTTCAATTCAAATATCTTGGCCAAGGATGCAGCTTTTGTGGAGTGGTAGTTGGGGGAAATGGGGCAGGTGGTGGTGGGGGAACAATATCAACAGCTTTGAAGAAAGTATTTTCCACATCTGTTGCCAAAACTGCCCCATAGGGTTCTCACTGAATCCAGCAACCCATAGTGTAATCCATTCTTTAAATGGCCAAGAACCTCAGGCCCCCAGACCTCAGAAATTAGTGAGGGAGAGGCACATTCTGGACTCTGTAGGTATGTCTACAACATGCAGATTATTAATAGTCATCTTAGGTAAATGGGATTTTTTTTCTTAATGAAGCAATTTTGAAGGACTCTGGTTTTCATTGATTTTTAAAAAAATTTTTAGTAAAATAACAATAGAAAAAAGTCCTTGAAGGTTTTTTTTTTTTTTTTTTTTTTTTTAATGTCTCAATCATGCACTCCTAACATGAGGAGTGACACTCCCTAACAAAAGAAGGCTGGGGCACACCTGTGTGTTTCTATGGTTCCTTGTTGGGTGAGGAGGGAAATGCTTTTAAGTTCTTGTATGAGCAGTGATAGGTTCTTTGGAATAGTTTCATGACAGGAGAGCACAGGTAAAAACTGGGTTGTTCTGATCAAACATCTGCTTTCTCAGATATTACTAACATATTTTTCCTGCCTTACTCACATGCCTAGATGACTCCTGATTGAGAATTTGCTCTTGACTGATTTATGTAAGCTTCTTTCCTTATCTGAGAGTAGGAAGCCAAAAGGTGAGTGATAGAGTCACCTGCTGCTCTACTTTGCAGAGATCCTAGAAGAATTTGCATCAGTCTTGGACATCTTGTGAATATCAGAAAACATATTTTGGAGGTTAGAAAAAGACCAGGGAATATGGTGTCTACATTTGCTTCCATGGAATCCAACCTGTCTTCACCTGAAAACAGGATCACATCCTTCCTTAAGCAGGAAAGAAGCTATTAAAGGTGAGCTTTTCTTTTAATTTTTCCTTTCTTTAGCTTCCCATAAAAGTTACTTCTAAACAGGGTAAAATCTTGTGCTTAGAGATGCAACAAAGAAAAAAGATTGCATTACATTTTGTTTCTGTCCTTTTAGAGATTTTCCCCCTGCAATATCTGGTTTTCTTTAGTGGTACTCAGTGCCCTATATTATATTAAAAAGGTAGCTGTGATTTGGTTGAGAAAATATTAGACTTGCAGCAAAAAATACTAAGGAAGTCCCATATTTGCTTCTTATAGCATGTATGCTATTTATTTTCTGTTTTTCCATTTAAAAAGAGGCCTATTAATATTACATTTTCAGGTTAGTTGTGAAGATTAAATAGGACAATGTAAAGAGATTTCTGGTTCATTGAGGACATTCATTAAATATTGTATATACACAGCTGTTTGTCCCTGTGTATAGATATATTTTAAATTTGATGGATTACCTGAAAGATTACATACCATTTTTGGGATAATATCAAATTGTATTACTTTAAGCACATTTTTAAAAAGGTTGCCTAGGTTCAATATGTGGCCAATGAAGTACATATGGTGAAAAGTATCTTAATATACAAATTGCCAAATAGAAACAAGAAATGTAGTTTTTACTTTTAAGAGGACTTTTAGATATCTAGAACTGGGGCGGGCTATGAGTCTGAATTTCATGGATTTTTGTCTCCAGACTTACTGGAAATTCTAGACCTCAGATAAGAGGTACATTCTAGGGTAGTCAGGGGTGGGAGGAAGAATAAGGAATGAAAGATGGGACTTCCTCCTACTAATTATACCTTTATGTCATAGAATGCTTAGTTCTCTTTCCTTTTCTCTCTCCTGAAGTGGAGGTGGAGCTGGATCCTGATCCTGGTGTGGTCAGCTAGTTGTGGGATCAGGATATAGGTCTCCACAAGAAGCCAGCTGTAAGAGGCTCCTAGGCATGTGTGTAATGAGGATATTTGACCAGAGAAGAAATATATTTTTGCCATCAGTTTGGAGTTGCACTTGACATTGCTGGGAACATGTTCATGATTCATTTATAATTGGAGACATTTTGTTTTGTCCAAGGAGTCCTCTCTCCTCCACCTCCTCCTCCATTGTACACAAACTCTGTCTCTCATCCTGTGAAAATGATTTCATGGAGGAAACTCTTCCGGCATTATCACTTATGGGCCCTTGGTGGTTATATGCTGCTGGCCGTTGTTGCTCTGAGACTTTCTTTCAGATTGAAGTGTGATCTGGACTCCAAAGAATTTCAAAGCCAATACTGTAGGGATAAGTTGTACAAGTCCCTAAAGCTCCCAGCAAGGAGGTCCATCAACTGTTCTGGGATCACCCGAGGGGACCGGGAAGCAGTGATCCAGGCCATTCTGAATAATCTGGAGATCAAGAAGAAACGGGAGCCTTTCAATGATATTGACTACCTTCGCCTGACCAGAGACTGTGAGCACTTTAAGGCTACAAGGAAGTTCATACAGTTCCCACTGAGCAAAGAAGAGTTAGATTTCCCTATTGCATACTCTATGGTAGTTCATGAGAAGATTGAAAACTTTGAAAGGCTGCTGCGGGCTGTGTATGCCCCTCAGAATATATACTGTGTCCATGTGGATCAGAAGTCCCCAGAAACGTTCAAAGAGGCAATCCATGCGATTACTTCATGCTTCCCAAATGTCTTTGTAGCCAGTAAGCTGGTTCGGGTGGTTTATGCCTCATGGTCCAGGGTTCAGGCTGACCTGAACTGTATGGAAGATTTGCTCCAGAGCCCAGTGCCATGGAAATACTTCCTAAATACATGTGGGACAGACTTTCCTATAAAGACCAATGCTGAGATGGTCCAGGCCCTCAAGATGTTGAATGGGAAGAACAGTATGGAGTCAGAGATACCTACTGAGTTTAAAAAAAGACGCTGGAAATATCACTATGTGGTGAAAGACATATTGTATATAACTAATGAGAAAAAGGATCCTCCCCCTAATAATTTAACCATGTTCACTGGGAATGCTTATATTGTGGCTTCTAGAGACTTCATTCAGCATGTCTTAACGAACCCTAAATCCCAACAACTGATCGAATGGGTAAAAGACACCTATAGCCCTGATGAACACCTCTGGGCTACCCTTCAGCGGGCCTCATGGATGCCTGGCTCTGTTCCCTTAAACCACAAGTATGACATTTCTGACATGATTTCCATTGCCAGGCTAATCAAGTGGCAGGCACATGAGGGAGATATCAATAAGGGGGCATCTTATGAACCTTGCTCTGGAATCCACCAGCGGACTATCTGTATTTATGGTGCTGGGGATCTGCATTGGATGCTTCAAAACCATCACCTGTTGGCCAACAAGTTTGACCCAAAGGTAGACGATAATGCTCTTCAGTGTTTAGAAGAATATCTACGTTTTAAGGCCATTTATGGGACGGAACTGTAAGATACACTGTTGTGCTACCTGTGAGGCTGGAACATGTGCAAACATGCTATAATTGCTGGGACAATGAAGGGTGGGAGTCCAGGGCTTGGGAATCTATGGCATCCCTTAGGATAAGGGGACTACTGTTAGAGTGTGGGTATGTAGACCTGTTCCCTTGCAAATTGCTGCCTTAGGCGAAAGCTGACTCTTCTCCAACAGTTCCTATACTGATTCTAACACAGGGAGGATAAGAACCAGTGTTATTTGGAGATAAAGGAGGAGTGTGTCAGGGGACTGTGGATTTCAGCTGAATACCTGGTGTCAGGTTTTGAACTTTAAGGAAAGGCTGTTCCTAATAAGTCTAGGCTTGGGGGGTGTTAATGGAAAGATAACTTTCCCTTTGGTACTGTTAATTTAAAAATGAATAGCTCCTGATTCAGAGAATTTCCTCTATTTTTTGTCTAAGAAGCCAGAAGTAATGTAAATAGATAAAATGTGTAAGAATTTTCTCATAACTGTTGGTGTCATTTAAAATTTGTAGTGGCTGGCAAGAGAGCCTCCATTAATTATCCCAAAACGGTCTTGGCAACAAGCTGTTTGAATAGCATATTCAAAATAATGTGGAGAAAGAAAAAAAATAGAGGAACAGAGCTATTCTTTCATTATTGAGACCACTTGTTTTGTTTACATTACCAAATTCATAACTTCTCTACCAGGGAAAAGGTGGGGCAATTTTTAAATGGTTTGACCACTCATGTCCTTATGAGAAAATCATGGCACTAATTTTGCCAGCTTCACAGTCAAAGAATGTTTCATAACAGGTAATAGTCATTTAGATAAAGTTGCATATAATATATTGTTACACATTTTTAGTAGGGAGGGCACTGTGCTGTTAATTATAATGGGAAGCAAAAATAAATAAGGACAATCAAGCTAAACAAGGATATCTGACTATTCCACGTGTAAGCCTCTTCAGTCAAAACTCCCTTTTTTTAACTATGTGAATGGAAGTGTTCTTTTTGTGATATTGCAGAGTGTGTATATATATATTTTATTGTGGGGAGATAACAATGATGTGTGAAAATGTTACTTAGGGAAACAGTTTCCTTTCTGAAACTCTGGAGATAATTGCTGGCTATGTGTCATTGTAATGGGCAAGGGGTACTACAAAAATATAGTGATACTATAAAAAGACAGTGGCCTTTGAAGATAGCACAGCTGATCTGCATATAGTATGTTCCAAAAAGGCTTTTTATATTCAAGTTAATTTGTGTAATTTGAATACTCCCATTAATATGTCATAACGTCATCAATGTGTTTCTACACTTCTGAATGTGATTTAAATAAGGTTTCTCTTAATCAGCAGTCAGCTTCGTCTGTAGCCCATGTACCTCTCACGTAGTTCCTGTGTGTGACTCTGAAATTTTGATGTATGTTAATGATTCCTTTTTGTAAGGTGGTTTCTCCATTGGTAGTGGGCATCATCATCCCCAACTTACCTGCTTTGCAATACTGAGTCCTCTTTACCTGTTCCCAGTCCCACTGTGGAGATGCTGAAGGATAGTTACAAGTGCAGTGTTTGTGCCCTGTGAGGTCTGTTGCCAGCAGTGGTAACTACTGACGTGTATGATGTTCCTCAGCTCTCCTCTGAGGTGGATGGAAGTACCACTGTGGGAAGTGGACAGAAAAGCATCCTTAAGTACACTTATTCTGAGAAAAAGAACTCAGGTCTTTGGCCACATAGTCAACTTAAAACTTTCATGTGAAATGTTATAATTCCTCATATAAATAAATTTAAAAAATCAACATGTGAACTTGTCATTTGGATTGTGTGTGTGTGTGTGGTGGGGCGGGGAGGGGGTACGCAGGATACAGGGAGTTGCAGCAATTTTCCAAGCACTGAAATTTTCTCTAAAAATATATTCAGGTGAATAGAAAGTGCTCTTCATTTAATAATATAAGTTCTTCATATCATAAGACTTACATTTCTCTGTTTGCTTAGTGTATTTTGGAATTCCTACAGTTAAACCAGCACATATGTTGATTTTTTTTCCTTCCTGTGGAATCATACCTGCTTCTTTCAATCTTTCTCTGAAAGGACAAATATTGTAATGAATTGAGCAAGTGGGTTTGTATCATCGTTAAAGGTTTAAATTGATTTATACCTTTCTTCCTTTCCTTTTTTTTTTTGTTGGTACTAGAGACTGGGGATTAAACCCAGGCGGCATTTTAACACTTTGCCACATCCCCAGTCCTTTTTTATTTTGAGACAGGGTCTTGCTAAGTAGCCTAGGCTGGACTGAAATGTAGAATTCTCCTGCCTCAGCCTCTAAGTTACTGGGGTTACAAGTGTGTGCCACCACATCTAGTTTTAATAACTAAAGTCTTCTTTTAATAACTCTTATTTTTGTTGCACACACTGATCATTGTAATCTTTGCTCTCTTTGTGAAGTAAAAAATTTTTAACAGGAAGAAAAGACAGTTGATAACTTTGGGCCACAAGACATAGTTGGAGAAGTCAAACCATTTTGATTAAAAATGGAGAGAATAATAAACACCTTGCCCACTTATCTTAATTGACCCAAAGATCTATTCTTATTCTTCCATTTAGGCAGTCATTTACCATGAAGATGAATAAGATACGGGTTTTGCCTTTATGAAGCTTAGTGTACTGACAAGCAATGAAATAATTTATTCATACATTCTTTCCACAGATATGAATTGAACTCTTACTATATACCACACCTAGTTTTTGACACAGGGGATACAGCAGTCAACAAAACATGAAAATTCCCACACTCATGTTATTCACATATGAGCAGTAAACCGAGTATAAATAATTATTAGAAGAGAAGTGTAGAGAGAAATTAAAGAAGTGTTAGGGACTTTGGGAAGTTGAGGTGGGGAGAAAGGATGCTTAAAATTTTAAATAAGGTGGTTAAAGGGGACCTCAATAAAAAAGTGACATTCGAGCAAAGTTCTGAAAGAGATGAAAGGAATGATCAGTGAGGATAAAGGAGGGAAGAGCACTCTTGGCCAAGAGGAAAGATTTATAAGGCCCTAAAGCAGGAACAGACCTGCCATGTTTCAGGAACAGCAAGAAAGCTAATGTAAATGGAACAGAGTGAAGGAAGAGTTAAGAGGGTGATACAGTGGAGGGACACTGTGAAGGCCTCTGTAAATCATGTGGACTTTTTATCTTCTCCAAGTGAAACAGGACCCAATGGAGGGTTTTGATCAGAGGATCTAATTAACATTTTAAGGGGATGACTGACTAGCTGCTGCACTAATAATCTGGTTGGGAGTGAAGAGTGGAAGCAAGGAGACAATCTGGAGTTTGTGGCCATAATACAGGAATTATACAAGTGTCCTAGACCAAAGTAGTAGCAGAAATTATGGAAGCGGTCAGATTTTGAAAATATTTTTGAAGATTTAGTTTGAGGATTTGCTGGCAGATTGAGTTTGTTTATGAGAGATGGAGGAGTCAAAAATAACTCAAAGGGTTTTGTCTTGTTTCAAGTTGCCATTAACTAAGACGAGAATTTTGTGAAGAAAGAGTAGCTTTTTAGGGGAAGATAAGGATTTTGATTTTGAACATGTGAAATTGGAGATGTCCATCAGACATTCAAGTAGAGATGTATAGAGGAATATCAATTCAGGAAAGTCTGGTTTGTAGTGCTTATGTGATATTTATCAGCTTACAGATCACATGAAGTCATGAAACTGGATGAGTGCCTGTATTAGTCCATTCTCTATTGCTATAATAAAATATCTGAGACTGGATACTTTATAAAGGGGTTAATTTAGCTCACAGTTTTAGAGTTATAAAGAACAAAATTAGATGGCCCCATAAATGCAGCCTCTGATGAGGGTCCCCTTGGCTATATCACATCATCGTGGATGGCATCATGCTGGGAACACAAGTAAGAATGAGAGGTCACACAGTAAGACAGGAAGGCCAGAGAGGGGAGGGCCTAATCTTATACTTTTAAAACAACCCTCTAGTAGGAACTAACAGAGGGTGTCACAAGAACCACATTAATTCTGGGGGGAGTGCCCAGTGACCTCCCATTATGCTCCACTTCTTAAAGATTCTACCACCCACCGCAATAGGGATCAAGCTTCCAACATGCGAACACTTAGAGGACACACTCAAACTGTATCCAAACCATAGCTGAGCCACAAAGGAGTCAACATAGAAGAGGCCCTCAGATGAATTCTGGCACTTTCCAAAATGCAGAGGTCAGAGAGATGAGAAACCAACAAAAGAAAGTTGAAAAGGACCAGCTAGTGTGTTATATGGAAATCTATTGAGGGTGGCATTCTGGGTTAAGAGGAGACAGCATTTCAGAGAAAAGGGAGTGATGACTAAAAACAGAACATGCTGGGAATCACTTAAGGTAAGGATGAAACGATTATTATTTTGAACAATGTGGAGGTGACCTTGATAACATCACCTGATTGGAGGTGAGTCAAAGAGAATGTTGGAATAAAACTGGATTCAGTGAGTACAGATAAATCATTTGAGGAGTATTACTTTCAGGGAAGAAAAAGAGAAAAAAAAAAAGTACCATAACAGAAGGTTAAGACAAAAGTTGTCTTGACAATTAGAAAAGCGGTAACATGTCTGTATGTTGATGGGAAAGATATAGTTGGAGGAAAAGATGGGGGATGAGATGAGAGGCTTGCCATGTTAACACCTTTATAAAGAAGACAGGGATGATCAATGCACAGGAAGAAAGCCTTTTCTTCGATGGAAGCACAGAGTTGGCCCACATTAATAGGATGGAAAGCAGAGTGAATGAGATCAGTTGTATGTGGTGGTGTGGATGTGGCAGTGAAATTTAGTTCTTTTGCTTTTTTACTAAAGGAACTTTTTTGGTACTAGGGTTTGAATTGAGCCACATCCCACTACTTTTTGAGATAGAGCCTAAGTTGCTTTGATTTTGAACAAGTTGCTGAGATTGACTTTGAACTTGTGATCTACCTGCCTCAGCCCCCACATCCCAGTCCCTGTCCCTGGGATTACAGGTGTGTGCATGCCACTATGCCCACCTTTTTCAATTAACATGTTATCTGATATAAATATACATGTAAAAAAGTACAAAATCCCAAACGTATGGCACAATGTTTTATGAACACAGCAGCGTAACCAGTCCCCTAGAGAACAGCACCAGCACCCAAGGTGCCCCTTCTGTGGTGGAAGTTGCATTTTACATCACCTGAAATAGTGAACAAGAGTTCTACTGCTCTACATTCTCACCAGCATTTTTACTTTTCTTCTTTTTTGATAGTAGCTATCGTAATGGGAGTGAGGTGGAGGTAAAAACTCTTTAAAGATGGTGTTATTGTCCCGGGCTGTGTAATTTTTAACAAGTCTGTAAGATCCATTATCTTTGTTTCTGTAATTAAAAGTGTCTTTTACCTCTCTTTTGGTTTTGGTACTGAGGACTGAACACAGGGCACTTATCAAGGAGCTACATGCCCATTCCTTTTTTTTGGCAATAGGGTCTTGCTAAATTGCTGAGGCTGGCCTTGAATGATCCTCCTGTCTTCCACATCACTGGGGTCATGAGAGGATAACTTTATTCTTTATCTGTAAAAATGGAACAAACTTTTTTCCAAAGTAATAGTCAAGACTACTCAGAAGAATATATGAAATACATATAGCACTTAGTCTCTTATAGAACAGTAATGCTGGCTATTATTTTATAAAGAAGTCCCATTTCTGTGCAGCCAAATGTTAGCTTTGGGTATTTAAGAATGACATTATAAATAACCTACTTTTCCCCCCATCTGAAAAAAGGGAACTATGTGTAGAATAAAGAACTGTTTAACATTTAAATAGGTAAAAGAAACTATTTTGCCAAATATTACTACCAACTCTTCTCAAAAGGTGACTTTTCATTCCTTTGCAGTTGGTTAAACAAATGTTTAATTACAGATGAAATGGGGTCAACCACAGAATAGAGAACATCAAAATCCTATTCTTACAAAATAATAGAGAGCCAACTCTTTTAAAATTTAAAATAATTGGTCTCGATTCATCTATAGTCAGCTGCTAAATTCTAGTCACTCAATTACCTGGAGCCTGATTTTTTAAGAAATAAATACCTCATTCTTCATTGTATTTTCCTACTTTGACTAACAAGGGAAACTTCGTTCCTTCACATAAACAAAGATATATAAAAAAAAAAATGCCACACATTTTAGTAGGACTTTTTATTTGAAGTCTAATAGTTGGTCAGATGTAGTTCATTTAAAAATGTATGAAACTTGATCAATTTGGCCAGTTCCAAGAAATAATTTAGAAACTAATTTATGTTGTTTGGAATAGGTTTTTGAGATCATTTAACTTTTCCAAATCTAATTGTATTTAAGTTTCTCTCATCAATGATTAGTTTTATACTTTTAAAAAAGGGAAGTTTCAGGCTGGGGACGTGGCTTTAGTAGTAGAGTGCTTGCCTTCCATGGGTGAGGTACTGGGTTCGATCCTCAGTACCACATAAAAATAAACAAAATAAAGGTATTGTGTCCATGTACAACTAAAAAATATTTTAAAAAAAAGAAAAAAGAAAAAAAAGGAAGTTTCGGCTGGGTGCCATGATGCACATCTGTAATCCCTGCAACTCAGGTGGATGAGAAAGGAGAAACTCAGATTTGAGGCCAACTCAGCAACTTGGTGAGGCATTGAGCAACTTAGTGAGACCCTGTCTCAAACTAAAAAAGAAAAGCTATCAGTGGTAGATACCCCTGGATTCAATCCCAAGTACCAAAAGGAAAAGACAAAAAAAAAAGGGGATTTTCTTAGTAAAATTCCATTCAGATTTTAGTTTTGCCCCGCTGATGCATCAGATAAAGTTACAACTGCAAAACTAATATGACTTTATTGAAATGACTATATTTTCTAAGTTATTTGTAAGGAATATGGTGCTTTTTAAAAATGTTTGTCTAATAACTTCACAATGTCTATTTGAAACAGCTCCACCACTAATTATTCACATTGAGTTTTAAAATGAGTTTATTAAAGAATGTTCTTAAGAAGGCAACAATTTTTGATTTGTCATTAAAAAAAAGGTACGTTTCTTCATGCTGTATAATAAAGGTAATGTAAGAGAATATAGTTATAAGCTTCTTTTTGCTGGAATTCTCTGATAGTACAGTACAGTGTAGTCATTTATGCAATGCTAGAATAAATTAAAAAAAGTCTCTTCTTTGCTTCTCTTCAAAAAGTGATGAATAATAACAGAAGATGGCCTGAAAAAGTCATTTTTTTTTCTATTCATTCTGTAGTATTGGAGCCAGTATCTAGGAAACAGAGAGAAAGAGTAAATTCAAGAAAGAACTTACTTTTAAATCTAAATATTTTAAGAATACTGATTTAAAAAAAAAAGAGAACTAATGGTGGTGGTACTTTGGGGGCAAAGAGAAGGAGGCTAAGCTGAAGAGGGAAGCTGACAACGGAAGTGCCTTGAAAATGTCAACAATTTTCTTTTAAGACAGAGAAAAAGACAACACTTTGCTCTCCATGTTTATGCTAGAGAGAAAGGCAAGCTGTACTATATTTGGTTCACATAGCTGTTACATAACCACATGTTTTTCAGGTCCTCTGTCTTCCCAGTGAGCAGCAGATCAAAAACTAGCTATTTTTTTTTCCTCTGTTTCTGTATTAGAAACTCAACTTTATTTCAGAAAGCTAACTTTAAGAATAAAATGGACTTACTTTATAGTAGCACCTTATTTATCTGGCATTACTGAAGAACAGCATTTTCTTAATTATTTAAATGTACAGAGTTACCTGTAAATGCCAAACTATATTTTAATTTGGGTAAAAAAAAATATTTCTTTTCTGCTGATATACAGCAAAGGGAATACAATCTAAGCTTCTCATAAGTGCTCTCTTTTTTATTGTTGTTGAAGATAATTACTACACTTTGCTGTGAGGGAAGCTCCTCAGAAGTCACTGTGATAAAATGAGGGCGATTTGCTACTTTTTATCCATTGAAGTTTGGAGAAACAAATAATCTTGCATTTTTAAGCAAGACTAACACATTCTTAGGACCACCAGACAGAAATGCCTGTGAACAAAACACATACCTATATACATGGATTCTTTGATATTAATTCTTCTCAGATGCCTTTTTTACTTTTTTGGTTCTAAGCTATGGTATTACTTACTATGTTGTTACTCTATAAGTCTACCTTCATGTTGTTCAATAGGATAGCCACTGGCTAGCTATATATGACTATTTACATGTAAATTAACTCAAGTTAGCTAATAAAATTAAAATATGAAGCTGCTTATTTGTGCCAATTACATTTTAAATGCTCAACAGCCAAGCGGGGCTATTAGAAAATGGAGACATAGAACATCTTCATCATTAGTTCTACTGAGCAGTGCTGGTGTACATCAACTCCTTTTGACAAAGGCCTAGGATTACAAAATTAATTGCCAAATTCCATAGTCAAGTAAAATATGAAAAAATACACATTATCTGAAATGTAGAAACATATTTATCTTGTGATCCAGAAGATAATAAACCAGAAAAATAAAAAAAATAAAATATATAATATCAAATATACAATAACACTGCTCCTCAAAACAAAAGATGTTAATTATCTAATGACTGTATTAAGAGGTCAACTACGTCCTTCGTTCTTAGAATGATTATTCCTAGTTAACCTGAACAGTACAAGTCAATGTAACATTGCTAGTTTCAGAGATTTCCTGACATCCAGAGGCTATTTTTAAAAAACAGGGCTGAAGGTATAATTTTATGCAGCCATCAGATATCGGGTTGAAGAGAACAGTTAAACGTGTGTGGAAAATGTTAAATTTACAAATGTATCTATAGTGCATACATGAATTATAAAAGGAGGTGATGTTATTGATGTTTTTCTTTGATGTGCTTATGTGGATTCTCTATAATTCTTTTCAGTGATTAGGTACTTCTTTTGAAATCTAAAGTATGTAAAATGAAAATCCCAACCCATAACCCAAGAAATAAGGCTATTACTTTCTACATTTCTGGTTTTTTGCTTCTCAACTACCTGTCTTGTACTGAGTGTGGTGGCACATGCCTATAATACCAGTGACTTGGGAGGCTGAGACATGAGGATTCCAAGTTTGAGTCTAGTCTCAGCAACTTAGTGAGGCTCTAAGCAATTGAGCAAGACCCTGTCTCAAAAAAATAAAAAGGGTTGGGTATGTGAATCAGTGGTTAAAAACTCCTGGGTTATATCCCTAGTACCAAAATAAAAACAAATACATATATAAAAAAAATAAAAACGCCCCCATTTTTGGAGAGTGCTAGTCTTTTCTATTTAATTTCAGGAACAGTTAGTTGCTTTATTTTTTATTTTTTGAGTGTTGAGATTTATTAATTGTTGGGGGGCACTGACATAACAAAAAATATTACAAAAAAAACCCCAAAACCTATTTTTGATTAACATTAAGCACATGTTAACAAACATCATAAAATGTATGTCCATTTCATGGACAAAAGTTTTCCTTGATAGACTGAGAATTCATTGAAGACAATATAATTTACTAGTCAGTCTACACCCTACCTTGATTATGTAAACATTATTCTTCTAAAAATTTGCATACTTGTTTATGCAATTTTTTTTCATTTTTAAAATTTGTTCTTTTTAGATATACATGACAGTAGTATATCTTGACATATATACATTGAGCAGCTAAGTGCTTTAAACACAAATGATTATAAGTATGTACATATTTAAAATACAATTAGCAAAAAGGAAATATGTAATCATAGAACAGAGAGCAGAGATATACAGCTTCTGAAATATTTAAGAATCAGAACAAGAATATAGGTCTGCAGTGGAACATTTACTTGCATAGACAAACAGATAAGAGGAATGGATTTATCATTATAGCCGCAAGGTTCTTAATGTGCTTTAAATAACGAACTTCTAAAATACAAAGTGTATGGGTATCTAGCAACATAGAAACCCTAGGACAAATTGTCAACATTAAATAACACATCCTTAAAGAGAAAGGTGGTTTTGAAAACCTGATAATTACTTAAAACTTGCAACTGAAGTGAAGAAGAAAAACTTAATAATTTCTTTTTCCTTAATCTGTGTAAGTAGTCTTGTGTCATGTGAAATGTATACACACACCTAAAATCAGTAAGAGGACTGAGATTTGGAATCCAGAACCTAACTGAGACAGAAGCCAGGTCTTTTAACTGGGAGTTGATTAGTTTGCTGTTTTCCCTTATAAACTTTTTGAGTATATGAAGATTGTCTAAAGACTCATAAAAAAAAGATTTCAAATAGCAATTAGTTAAACACTTACTTTTACCATCACAGGCTACAATTTTCACTTTATCCACTTTAATAAGTTCTGTCACCTCTCTGAATTCAACATCATTCAATACAAAAGTCCACACATTATCGCAGAATCTGTATGTATTTAGAGAGCCCTTTAAAACAAAACACACAGGGAAGTGTCATTTTTTTTCCCTTCATATTTTTCTCCAAAGCAATTTAAGAGAACTTAGCTACTAAGAACATAATATGTTTAATGCTTAGCTGCTTAAGATTTTCCTTAATTTTAAACCTATCTATCTAAAAAACAAGTAAATGAAAGGAAAACCTAGATAAATTTGCTAAGAGTTAAAAATCATTTTAATTGGACTATTTCTGGCACTATAAAAAGGTCTGCAAATTACCTGAAAGTAAATAAGTGGTATGAAAATCTAAATTTATATTTCTACTGCCCTCATGTGGCTAAATTATGAAAGTCCATGTGAATTTTTTGGTAAACATTTTTTAAAACCTATTTTACTGTGTATATTAATTCTTCTAATTTGTACAAAAGCAAGGATTTCTTAGAGACACTAAATAAATTTTAATCCTGTGACTTAGCTCATATATGTATCACTGTATTAGCCACTATTAATTCAACATTGTCTTATGCAACTGATAACTCTACAAAGTTTTTTTGTCTCGTAAAGGTATACCTGAATATTAAAAAAAAAAAAAAAAAAAAAAAAAACATTTCTTATAGAGTGTGGTCAAGCTGCAATAGACATCAAACATGCCTATAATCCCAGCGGCTAGGGAGGCTAAGGCAGGAGAATCATGAGTTCAAAGCAAGCCTCAGCAAAGGCCAGAAGCTAATCAACTGTCTCTAAATAAAATACAAAACAAGGCTGGGGATATGGTTCAGTAGTCAAGTACCCCTGAGTTCAATGCTCAGTACCATAAACAAAACAAAACAAAAATCACCCCCACCCAACCCTGATGTATACAGACATACACACCCATTAAAATTTAGTATGAAACAAGACAAATTCCTAAAATCTTTAGTTCAGGAAAAGTATTAAACATAAAAAATGTTCTTTGAGGTATTATTTTTAATAGCTGGATTCAATTTAAAATATGTTATGTATGAAGTGAAAATGGTCAATGAAACAGTGATGGCTGTGAGTGAACTAGTTAAGAAATTAAATAAATCTGAATAATCACTGTTACTACACTCTGCTGGAGCTCTGAGATTATAATGATAAGCATTGGTCCCTGCCATCAGTGAGTTTAGCAGGGAGATCATTAAAACAAATATATAGTGTAACAGTGCTATGAAAGAGTAAGTTACTGGGTATGATGGGAGCAAAGCAGAGATGCTCAAGAGTATGGAAGGCACAGGGCGGATAAAGTTTCTCACAAAGTAGAGGGTAAGTTGAATCTTGAATGAGTAAGAGCTACTGAGGAGAGGTGGGGAAATGGAAAGAAGATTGACACTTGGAATAAGGTGGGAGATTCCAGAAAACAATAGTTTAGGAGGTACTAAGGGAAAGGAGACCATGAAGATCACTTAAATAAAGCCTTTGCTTGATTCCAATTTTGCTTTCTCATTGCTTTGAGGTCAATGAAGGACTTGAAGAGGAATCATATGATTAAATCTTTCTGGCCATGACAAGAATGGGTTGAGGGGAATATAGCTGGAGGCCAGAAGACTAGAAGCCAATGCCTCTTAGAGGCAGCTGAATCAGAGAGGTAAAAGTAGCATTACTATAGTAGTATCAGGTGGGACCAAAAGAAATGGAGAAATTTTGAAAGGTAGAACTGACAGAACTCAACAACTATGGATATGATGGAGGGACATAAATCTATGGTAATTCCCGAGTTTCTGCCTTGAGCAATTTCACAAAAAAAGCCAGTTTGGTAGGAAAGTTAAATTTGGAACTTACTGAGTTTGAAACTAACTTATTGATGTTCAGCAAGGGAACATTAAGGGGCAGCAAGAGACAGTAAAGAAGCATGAGCATATCAATTTTACTAAGACCACATGACTAGATGAGATCATTCAAGGACAGTATTTGGAGGTCGTATAATAGGAATACCTATTATTGTGACAACCGGAAGAAAACTACAAAGAAATCTGAAAGAAAGAGGGTAGGGAATAGAAGAAAGTGTAAGAAAGTAAAAATTCTAGGAAGTATAGGTTTCAAAAAAACAAAAACAAAACAAAATAATCAATGGTTATCACAAAGTATGTTATTAAAATTAGGGAAAAAAAACTCATCAAGAGCAGTTTCAGTGGGGTGGTAAAAAATGGATGGAAAATCATTTATGACATAATATAAGGTAAAAGTCATCGATGGGTATGGCAGTGCATACCTATAATCCTAGCAACTTAGGAGGTTGAGACAGGAGCATTGTGAGTTCCAGGTTAGCCTTAAGCAACTTAGTGAGATCCTGTCTCAAAATAAAAAATAAAAGGGAGGGCTGGGGATATAGCTCAGTGGTAAAGAGCCCCTGGGTTTGATCCCCAGTAAAAAAAAAAAAAAAAAAAGTAAATGTGACAAAATATATCTAAGTTGGCTGTGTCAATAACTTGAACAAAGTATATTACTAGGATTTAAAATTAATATATGAATACTCATTTTCAAATATAAACAGAATTTTAAATGTAGTGTAGAATGAAAAACTTAGATAATTATATGTTGAAATTTCTATTAGTTGTAATATAAATACACATACTTCCTTTGGTTTAATAAAGTAAAATGTTATAAAACTTGATGGTGAAACAATTTTATTACGTGCTCTCCTATAATTAGATTAAAATAACACAATTAAGCTAGCATATTAACTAGATAACCTTTGAACCAATAACTGTTTTAGAAAACTTCAACAGCCAGGAGTGGTGCTGCATGGCTATAATCCCAGCAGCTCAGGAGACTGAGGCAAAAGAATCATAAGTTCAAAGCCTACCTCAGCAACTTAGTGACTCTAAGCAACTTAGCGAGACCCTGACTCAAAAAATAAAAAAGGGTCTTGGGATGTAGTTCAGTGGTTAATCAATCATCCCTAAGTTCAATCATTGGTACCAACCAAATAAAACCAAAACAAACCAAACAAAAGCCCCCAAAATTTAAAACATAAGCCAGGTATGGTGATGCATGCCTGTAATCCCAACAACTCAGAAAGCTGGGGCAGGAGGATTGCCAAGTTCAAGCCATCTTCAGCAACTCAGCAGGGCCTTCAGTAACTCAGTGAGACTTTGTCTCAAAATAAAAAATAAAAAATACTGAGGATGTGGCTCAGTGGTTAAACACCTCCTGTGTTCAATCCCCAGTGCCAAAACAAAACAAAACAAAAAAACACAACAACAAAAAACAAACCCATAAGATTAGGTAACAAAATGTAATTTTTTTAAGAATAATTTGGTGAACTAGATTCCCTAACATGAAATAACCTTTACTGTATAGAATTTTAAATATTTTTCTTTTTCATTGTTTTTGAGAATCAATCTATTTAGTATCTCAAGTATAGTATAAAAACTAAAATATTAAATTCATTCTTTATATTAAAAATATTACATCTATAAAATAATATTTGGCTTTGGTCAAATAATTTTAGCAGTCATTCAGCCAAATTGTACCCTCAATGCATCTCTAATAAATACATTTTAAAAACCACAAAGACACGCATACACAAATGTGTATGTTTTACATATGTAAACATGCGCAAGCGCAGACACACACACACACACACACACACATACACACAAATTAAAATAACATTTTAAAAGTTACCTATCATTAGAGAAACATCAAAAAACAGGGAAAAGGAAACTGTCAGTGTTAAAAGATTACTTTTCTTGACCATTAAATCTTTTAATTTTGCATAATTGCTGATTATTTTTTTTCTTCCAGTGCTGAGGGATTGAACCCAGGCCTCCCAAGTCCTATCCCCAGCTCTTCATTGCTGTTTGAAGCTCAGTACTATGTTTAAGTGACCACTACCTGTATCTGTGGTCATACAATCCTCACATGCACACAATGACTTTTTAAAAATCCTAGTTATATATACTAGATCAATGTGAATTTTCTCTATGAATAATCCAATTCAAGTTCATATATTTTGATGTTTTTACTACACATTCAAGGGTTATTTTTCCTATAACATCCTACAAAGTGATCTCACTTATGTGGAATTCATACAGGATTTATAACAAAAAAAATTAACATGCTACATAAGATTATTCTTTTAATCGGTTCCTAATCTTCTTGCTGGGCTAGCAATAAAATCATAAATAAAAAAATTTAAATGTAATCAAGCAATGTATTTTTGAAAATTAGATATTACTAATACATTATCCCTATTCTCTTTGTTATATACTACACCAAGCTAAACAGAATGTTATTTGCGAATATTCTGGACTTAAAAAAAGAGATTAATTCTGTTGTATCTGAGGAAGGAGGCAGGGGTAAAGGGTAGGATGATGAAACCTGAGTTACAACAGTAGCAGTGGGGGGGCGGGAGAAGGAAAGGAAGGCAGGCAGGAAGGAAAATTAAGTCCTGATAAAGACTGAATAGTTAAATCTTTTAGAAATTGAGAAATTTACAAAATTCCATGAAAGAGGAATATAAGTATCATAATACCTGTAAATTTATCTAAAGAGATCTAAACTAGAAATCTACTCTAATGCAGCTAAAAAACCATTTAGTCCTTGTGAATCCTACGGTCTCTGATAAGTTTTCTACCATATTTTCTACATGGACAAAAGTTTATAGATTAACATGGATCAACTCAGAAATACAGGGTCAGGTTTCAAATGGCAAACTAGGCAGATTTCTACATGTGGTTCTATAAACAAAAACTAACTTTGCCAGAATTATTACTGTTAAATATATTTTATAGTCTCAAAGACATAAAAATGACCCATAGATGCTTTTATATATGTCTTTTATTCCAGTTAGTTTTTAGGCATGTAAAATTGATGAAAAGTAAATACAGATTTCATCTCTTTACCAAAATTTAAGTTAAATGGGTCTTGTCTGTCTTATTTATCTCTGTATTACCAGTATCTAGAACAATGCCTGGATCGGAACTCAAATTTTTTTTTCTATCATCAACAAAGACAAAATACCCCCAAATCTTTGGGGTTCTCTTAAATGTAAGGTAGCCCGTAAATTCTTTTCATATATTCTAATTCTATATTAGCATTATGTCCTGTAACACAATACAAGCATATACATATGTTAACTTTAACAGGATAACAACCAAACATTATACATTATAATATTTTAGGACTCCACTAATATCCTAATGTGGTAAGACTATTTCTGTTCTACCATGCCTTCCAATGGGGCAGGATTTTATTATAAAATCATCACAAAATAGAGAATTTGTTCTGCTTTGCATGACTCTTGCAAGTATAAATGATGAGACCAAGCTACCAGAATAAATGGTTATCTACCATTATTTCAGGTTTTTATAAACCGAGTCATCTAAGAGTAGGTGGGAGGCAACACAAAGTTACTAGGAATAACTGTACAATTTCCTAAAATAGGTGAAGCCCAGAGTTTGAGAAACAACTGAATCGTAGGGATTATTACACTACTTACCTTCATTTTTAATTTAATTTTTGTAGGCATTTGAAATCTCAGTAATTCTTCAGGGCAGGTACCAAATATCCAGCTGACTTGTGCAACAATGGTAAAAAATCTAAAGACAACTCTCTCTTACATTAAGTGGATAAACTTAGTATAGAGCTGATTTAAAATAATTTAGTTATAACAAAACAAGTTCTAAAACTTGATTAGTCATCTCTTCCTCTTATGATTAATTATCATGTAGGGGGTCTCAAAATATCCCTTGATCAGGCTTCTAGATTTAGGAAAATATCCTTACCCTGAAATTGACTCTGTTCCTGACCCTCTGAGCCAATGCTGAATTTATAGCCTTATCAAACTGAAGAAGAACTTGAAGGGCAAGTTGCGGGGTGATCTGTTGAGACTGAGAGAAAATAAAGGTCATAAATCCTTGTAGGGAAGAACATTAAAGACAAAATAACATACAAATTATCACCTAAAATTTAATTAAGGCTATCCAGAGCTTCTGAACTGAATCCTTTATTCTCATTTACCATAATTGACAATGAAGAAGCAAAGCCTTTTAAACTATCTTGACAAAATAATTTTGAAAAGGAAACATGCAGTAATTTTACAAAGCCAGAATAGAACTGTGACACACACACACACACACACACACACACACACACATTTAATCTGTATTAAATCTTACTGAAGACCATTTAATATCTAAACAATGGAAATATTTGATATGTTTTTAGTTGGGTTGTTTAAATAAGAAAACTTCTAAAATTGAAATATAAATTCAAAATTCCAATTTAAATCTCAAAAGATAATTACATAAAAAATTAAAACCAGAGAGAATAAGCCTTTATTCTAAATAAAAAAGGAGTAAAATCATCAATTTTAATTTTTAACAAAATATTCTGAAATATGTTCAACCACACCATTTCATCACTGTATTTCTGTTCTACTGTCAGTATAACAAACAGGAATTTAAGGTTGTTCATCTGTCAGTGACATGCTAAATAGTCCAAGTTTTACCTCATATTTCTTTGCCTGGGATAAGGGATATGACAAAAATTATTAAACAGCTCTAAATGAAACTGAATTGACTTTTCTGTTTCCCACCTGTATGAGCTCATCTAGGCTCTCCTGAAGACTGTTTCCCAAAGTGGTATTTCTGTATAACTGATATGCCATGGCTTATGAAGAAGAAACTGCTTTTTCTTCAGGTTTGCATTGATGTCCTAAAAGTTTAATATAAAATCACTTAAAAAGATCATACTGTAACATTATAAATTACTTATTCAATAGTCTACTTCATATATTCTAATATAAAACCACAGAACTCATAATTACAAATTATAATTTTAGAATTTTAAGTAGTTTTTTTCCTAGTTACTTTTCTATGATTTTGAAATGACATTTACATCCTTTGAATACAGTATTGATATATTCATTTATTAAAATGTGTCTTTATGGTTTCGTTCAAATCTTTGCCTTCTAAATCTAGACTTTTTCATGTACCATCCATTCTACTTGTAATCAAGTTATTGATCTAGACATTCTTCAGTGCACCTTTGCATGCCTGCCTCTTTATTTTCCTGCTTTCTTAAAATTCAATAATTATAGAGTGCCTACCAAGAGAATGGTACTGTGATAGAAACCAGGGACAGAAAGATGAATAAAGACATACTCCCACTCCTCAAATCTTAAACCCTAGAGAGGGTAACAAACACTCTTAGAGAGGGTAACAGGCATACAAAAAGGTTAAATCCAGTATAAAATAAGAACCCTGATAGAGATATACACAGCATACTATGGAGGTTGCCTGTTGACTGAGTTGACTCAGAAATTTCCCCTTCAAGCCAGACTTTAGCAGAACAAAGGAGGAAAATCATCATATAATGAGATGACAGAAAAGCCACAGAAGTATAAAACAGTAAGGTTTGTGGTGAACTATAAACCTTCCCATATTATTAGTGCATAAACACGAACATCAAGTAGGAGGAGATGAGGCTAAAACAGAGGGCACAAGGACTTTCTTTGCAAAAGTGGTACAGGCAGTGAGAATCCCAGAAGCATTTTAGGTAGGAGAGATCAGATAAGTTGGCTCAAGGTGAGATTAGAAACAGATGAGGGATGGGGACTCAAAAAGGGTGGCAGTAGTACAGACTCAATAAGTACTGAATTTCTACTAAATGTCAGGTGTAAGATCCCTGACCTCACAGCACTTGCAGTTTACAAATGGACAGGAGATATGTATTCAAGGAGTTATCAGATAAAACTCAGCAAAACTAATAGTCAGCCTTCAGTCACATATTTTTTCAGCATTTGATATAATGGATATTTATGTTTTCTTGAGACATTCTTTGACTTTTGGCACACCACTCTGAGTTCATTTCTCCTACCCACTTCACTGGTTACTACAATTCTTGTTTCCTTTTGCAGATTCCTCAGCTCCCTATTCCACCTACTTAACTGCCCTAGACTCCTTGGTTCTCTATATGCTTTTTAATTTATCTATTTGTTGATGATCCCCACATTTCTATCTCCAGCTAATTTCTCCTCTTGAACTCACATATAAAACTATCTACTTGAAATTGAATAAAAAAGTCAAGTAGATGGCTCAAATTAAATTTTCCAAAAACCAAATCCCTAATACTATCCTTCTAAACTGGCTGTTTGTAGTGTTGCCCATCTCAGCAATTGGTAAACCTAGTCTTCCAGTAAGATAATTAAAAAACCTTACAGTCAACTTCTTTCTCTCTTTTATCATCTTTAATGCTATCACCCTAAGTCACAATACTGTCAAAAAAAATTAATGCAATAGTCCAATATGTGGTCTCTTTGTTTCTCTCCCCGCCTATGGCATCATCATCAAGTCCATAGCAGCCACACTGAAACTTTAAAACATGGCAAATTAAATCACTCATCTATTCAAAACCACCAATAGCAGTAAAAACCATCATGTCCTTCCTATAGTTTGCATGGTCTATGTGATATGCCCCCTTCACTACCCTCCTGCCCTTATCTTTTTCTACTCATCCCCTCTCACTCTGCTCTGGTCATACTGGTCCCTGCTGTTCTTTGACAAGGCAAGCAGTTCTTGCTTGAAGGCCTTTGCCCTGGCTGTTCTTTTGGTTGTGAATTTTCTTCCCAGATATCTATGTAGTTCACTCCTACAACTTATTCAGATTGGTGTTCCAATGTTACCTAATTAGAAAGGCCTTCTGTGATCAAGGAATTACCTTCCTTCTTGTGCTGCTTTATTTGTAATAATGTCAATAACTGAAGCTGACATACATACACTTATTCTGTCTCCATTTAGTATACTGGATGATCCACGAAGGTAGGGACTTTATATATTTACCACTTAGAACAATGTATTTAGTATGTACTAAAAAGTATTTGAGTGAATAATGGTGGCATGTCAAAGTACTAATATCAAATATCAGAAATTTATCCAAAGTACTAATATCAAATATCAGAAATTTATCTAAGGGCCTCACACATGCTACTAAGGAAACTAAAGCGGTGAAAATTTTGACACTCTTACATCCACATCTTCCTATCTACCAACATCTGCACTTATATTCTTTGTGTCCCTGTCTGGTCTGTCATTAGTTACCTAAATTCAACCCTTTTACTTTTGCATCAGTTCCTATCCTTTTAATACACTTGAGAATATTGTTCTAATAATTCAGTTGTTCTTTGTTTCCCTCACCACCAACATTCTTTCTATGTTCATTTCTATCAGCAAATAAACTGTCTTGGGGGAAAATAAAAAAACCCCAACCAAACAAACCTAACTTACTTCCCCTGCCAGTTACTCTATTTCTCTACTTCCCCTTTACTGGAAAACTCCTTAGAGTTGTCTGTACTCACTAACTCCCATTTCTTTTATTCTCCTTTTCTCCTCAGTTCACAGCCAGTAGGCTTTTGCCTCTGGCACTCTAATGAAACAGATGGTGAAGGTTATCACTGGCATTGCTAATCCTCAATCCTCACAGAATTAGAGCATTTGACACAGCTGATTACTCCCTCCTTGATATTAAAGGACCTTTGTTTGGCTTCTGGGACACCAGTTTATGGATTGTCATGTTAACTCACTGGTTTACCCTTCTTGTTTGTTGGTTGATCCTCTTCTCTTTGAATTTTTAATGTGACAAGACACAACTCTCCATTTCTGCTTACTATCTACACCTATTCCTTAGTAATACCTTTTGTTTTTATGGTTTTAAATACCACTTCTGATCATTCCCAAACATACCTACCAGCATAAAAACTTCTCACAAGTGGATTTAGGTGCATACTCAACACATCTATTTGTCTTTCCCATCTCATAACTCCTTACTTTTATGGTCTTAGACAAAACCTGTGAAATGTTCCATATCCAAATCCTCAAAAATCCACGAAGCTTTATCTTAAAAATGCATTAAAAAAAAAAATCAAACCATTTCTTACCATCTCCACTATTATCACCCTGATCTGAGCCACTATTATAGTCATTTGGATCTCTGATTCCCTGCACTCTACTCCTAACTCATAGGTAGGTGATGTTTTAAAAATACCAGTTAGAATGTCTCTTTTTTTTTTTTACATATATATTTATTTTAGTTGTAAATGGACCTTTATTTTATTTATATGTGAAATAAATAAACTCGAACCCAGGGCCTCACACATGCTAGGCAAGTGCTCTACCACTGATCCACAACCCCAGCCCCACAATGTCTCTTTTCTATTAAAGACCTCCCACAGCTTCCAAGGGCCCTTACAATAATTTGGTTATCTATTATCTCCCTGTCTTTATCAACTATTCATCTTCACCTTGTTCATCCCTCTCCAAACAATAGCTTCATTTCAATTCCTTGAGCATGACAGGTATGTTCCTGAAAGCATCTTTGATGGCTGTTCTTTCTGCCTAGAATACTCTTCCCCACATAGACACTTGGCCAATTCTCTCCAAACCCCTTGACTTTTCTCAAAAAGCACCTACTCAATAAGGCCGAAACTGACCATCATACTTAAAAGACTAATTCCCACAGGCATTCTAGAACTTCCCCCAGGCCTTTCTTGCTCAATTTTCATGACCTTCTGAAAGTTTAAATTAATATTACTCAATGCATATTCACTTTCTGCATCCAACGGTATGTAAATTTCATCAGGGCACAGATTGTTTTGTTCACTGAAGTAAACTGGGCATCTTGAACAGTATCTCACATATTATGGGAGCCAAATAAAATATATGTTCAATAAATAAAAAAAAGTAAACTTCAGTAAATATAACGTGTGAAGGGAAAAAGTCCCAAAAGGAGATAAAAATTTACAAACTATGAGTACAGAATTTGTGTCACACCCCATTTTATGGCTGAGAATTAACTAGAAAACAATTATCGTGTTTAAGCATTTGTTACATTATTTGTTTTAATGATCTTAGATTCTAAAAATTCCTAGTGTTCAAATCCTTGAAATGTGGTATGAGCTACAGAAATTTAGTACTCCCTTCTCATTTTGTAGTTTAGAAAATTAGAAGTCTTCAAATTTGAGCAATCAGTTTGAGACCTTCTTGACTAAACCATCCAGTTAAAATTGGTTCCTTTGTCACAGTTCGCAAGAGGAAAGTTGGAAGGCAGACCTCACGCGACGAAACACAGTAAGGAGACTCTTAAAGAATGCTTCTCGAAGTTCGGCAAAACCCACACGCCGCTGACCTGGAGGCTTTAAGACTTAACTCAGTCGGCTAAAAACAGGGTGCTGAGCTGACCACTACCCCAGGTCCGTTTAGCTGGCATCAAGGTGGGGTGGCGTGCCGCCGCCTCTCCCTCTTCTCTGGCACCAGCCGCGGAGTTAGTAAGGAGCCTCTCCGGGCCCCGGGAACCACGAACCCTCCAAGTGACCCTTGGAGAACACCCAACCAACCGTAGCCTGTTGTGGGGGCGACAGAGGGCGCGGCTCAGGCTTCCCGCGCTAACCCAACCCAGCCCACCCACTACCTGCGGGCAAGGCGCTTCCAGCTGGGGAACGCACAGAAGCGGCGCCGCCAGAAGCCTGGCTGGAGGTGCCCACCGCGCTGACCACCTCTTCAGACGCCGCAGAAACCGCAGAGCTGGGCCGACGACCCGGAAGCGTTCGCGGAACCGGAAGTGACATCGGGCGCTAGGGACCGCCCACCCCGGCTCAGCGCGCCGCTCAAACTTTGTGAAATGATGGGAGTACTGAGATTAGGGCTGGGCTTTCAAACCCTGCAGCGGCGGTCAATCTACCATTTGAGCAGTTCACCAGGTGTACTAATTCGTTCATAAGATAATTTTTAAAGAAGAATCTCCACTATTAGATGCGATATTTAAAAAATGTAGGGCACTTCCATTTTATGTCTGGGTTATGTTCAGTGTAATACTGTTGAAGACTTTGAAATACTAAGTTGGAGACTAACTCTGAAGATTATATCAGGGCGTCTTTTAACCATTCAATATAGGGCGGCAATTAATCTAAACCGGCAAGATTTTAGTTTGTGATTAAGAGTTTTAATTTGGGAGACACTATTTAAAATTTGTGACTAATATGCATGTCAAATACTCCAAAATTTCAAGTCCGCGTAATAATACCAAATTCCTTTAGGTGTCCATCAGGGCGTATCAAATCCTAATTGCATTAAGCTTAGCAGTTATGTGCACAGCAAATTGCCACTAAGTGGCTGAGTTGATGAAGGAGATAAAGTTCAAAAACAAGCGCGACAAACTGGAAACTCTGAACAGGTTTATTATTATTTTTATTTATGCCATTTTCATTCCCAGAACAAAGCTGTTCTGTCTCATCTTTGTATTCCCTATTAATTAAAGTAATTCTAAATGATCAAACGCAAAATTTAATTATAGTTTAAATGTTAAAGCTGGTTGAATTTTTCACTCCCAAAAGAATAGGAAGTACCAGACTACATAAAGAAGAGTATCTGAAAATTAGATATTTAAGTGAAAAAAAATGGTAGCATAATGAAAAACAAATGCAATCATTCTAATTAATTTATTTAAATTCATGCATGTTGCAAAAATATGTGCAACAGATCAGGACACAAGTTGTTGTACTCCTAACAAGTCAAAGGAAAAAAAAATATTACATCTTCTTAGCAAATCACGACCAACTGAGTTATTTCTCACCTGAAACACATCACCAATTTGCACATACACCTCAGAACTGAATTTCTCACACTGTGAAATGACAGTACTAAACTAGTCAACATCATCCTGGGCTGGGGATAAGCTCATTGGTAGTGTGCTCTTCCAGCATGCACAAGCCCTGGGTTCAAACCCCAGCACCACCACAAAAAAAAAAAAAAAAAAAAAAAGATAATGAGATCATGATCTTAATAGTGAAAAGGTCACATTAAATTGTGAACTTGTGGTAATTAAAAATATTTTGAACTATATCAAAAAGTCAATTAGTATCTAACAAACTGAATCATTCCAATGAATATAATGAGTGCCCCAAGGACTTTGCAATCAGTGACTCTGAAACACCATTACTTACTAGCTAAATTTATGTAAACAATTAAGCAACTGTTACATTGATATTCAAAAAGTGTGGAGTAGCAGCTGGTAATTATTTTTCAAGTTCCTTCTTTGTCAAACTGTGAAAATGTAGAAAAATACTGATGCAAACATTTTAATCATTTGTACAATGTCTTGTAAGATAGTTATCTGAAGCATAAAGGCATGTCACACTTTAGTTATGTGAAAGCAATTAACTCTTTTGATTTTCACCTGGTGCTTAATTTGTTGTTCATTTTTCATTTAGTTCTCAAAAAAATATATAATTGAAACAAAGCTGTCCTTTCAAATTTTAGTCACTCCTTACTATTCAACAAACTATTTTCAATTACCATTTAGGACTTTAAAGAAGTTACATTACTAGGCCTCCCCAGTGATCTGATTTTAAATTCATTCAGAATCTCAGGAAGGGGAGTTCCCCCAGGTAATTCTTTTGTACTAATTTAGAATATCCAGTAGATAGTACCTCACTTTTCTCCCCAGTTAGCCTTCTCATGCAACTAAGTTCTCCACACTTTCTCCTAGCAACTCAAACTGCACCATTCCCATTCCCTATGACAAGATAAACTCTTCCGGGATAGAACTGTGGCTCAGTGGGTAGAGCGTTTGCCTAACGTCTGAGGCACCGGGTTCGATCCTCAGCACCACGTAAAATAGATAAATAAATGAAATAAAGTTTAAAAAATTAGGAAAAAAACCTCTCCTATTGCAAAACAGGCCTTTTAAGTACATTAATTCATTTACTTCATTCCTGAGATTTATTTGTAATCCATTTTTCAAGTACATGGGGAAAAAGGCATGAAAACAAAATGGAATGGTGTAGCCAATCTCTAGTGTCATCCTATCTCGGCCTGCAATCTGATTGAGCAATGTTAACAATTTTCTATTTAGCATACAGAAAAATGAAGGCTGAAGGTACTGTGTCATCTTACGTACAATATTACTAACCTCATCAAGAAACTGGCTTGTTGTACTAGTTAAGTTCTAATGCTAATTTAACTATCAAATGAAGAAATTTAAAAAGCCACTTTTACATTAAATCAAACACATTTCCAAATTCTCTTGAGCACTCATAAAAACAGCTAATACTGTTTAATAAAGAAGTCTATTAAGAGACAAACTCTTTACCTTTTTTAATTCTAGAATTGCAGTCGATGAAATTCTAGCTATATTTATTTGTTAATCAGATTTCAGTATTCAGTGCAGTGTGATGTCCCTTATGGAAAACTAAGGTTTATCAAATTTAAAACCAGAAATAATGGTTCTAAACTTTAATTTGAGCACTCTACTTACTAAGCCAGGATTCAAACTTGCTTCTATATGAAAAGAAAAAGCAGAGGAAAATATGAATTCTATTTGTAGGTTTTACCGGCTTTATCCTCCTTCAATCCAGTCTTGTTCATACATTGTGCATAGCTCATAGGTTTTCTGCTGGATACAAATAATCAGCTGCCATATATATAGTACTTTCCTTAGGAGAGACACATTCAATGGCATCTCCGATAACAGCTAAATCTTTATTCCTTTATAAAGGTTTCCCTTCTTTTCAATAACACTGGTTGTCTCCATTAGAATCCTATTTCATTTCTCCTCCTAACCCCTTGAGTTAGACTATTAAAAGCTTAAATGTAGGGTTGGTATCATGTCTCTCCTTGGTGCTTGCTTAGTACTATAATCAAAGCAGAATAGAGGATCAAATTACCTCATACTTTTTTAAGAGAAACTTTTGGTTAAAAAGGTGTACTTAGAGCCAAAGCCAGTGACAGAATATTCAAACCAGTTAAGTTAGTTCCATGACCTTGGCAGAAAGTTAATAAATTATAAGTACTTTCACATCAATCAGCAATGGAAATTAAAATCAAATATGGAAAAATGTCATTGTTCTTTCTGAATTTTAATATTCTGACAGCAAATAGGCTACTTCTGTTGTTAAAAAAAATTGAAACAGACCATTTTGCAACAATATATATATTTAGGAACAATTTCTGCAAAAATAAGTTAATAAACACAATAAAAGAATTGAGTGAAAATTATTATGTATTTTTGAAACTGAAGAGCCAAATATTTAATGTGGTGCAAAACCATCTATTAAAAAGCCCAGTCCACTTTGAGACACACAGATGAAAGACTATTTAAAATTGTCTACAAGTGTTATCTAACCACAATTAAATCCAACATCTTTATTCATAATCCCCAAATTCTGAAGGAATGCCTGAATAGATTATTGTCAGTTTATTTCTTCAATACAAAGTGTTTCTAAGATTTCAGCAAGAATAATGTTTTGGCTTAATTCATTGTAATGACATTAATAAAGGATCTGTCTAGAGCTGCTGGATCCCAGTCAAAAGGCTGTTGAAGAATGCTTCATCCAAGGAATCCTCCAGCATCTCCCATAACTGGACTTAAGTCAGCATGCCAAGTTTAGGACTGATGAGGACAAAAAGTAAAGGAAAATCCCCTTTTATAGCAGAAACTTTATATTAAAAAAATGACAATGGTAAAGCCATGATTGTATGATCAGTACAAAAGAGAATAAATCTTAAAAAGCTAAGCACAAATCTTCAATTTTGCTACTCTACCCTTCTCTTTTTGTAAAATAGCTTACAGGACATGGTGGACAGCATGACCTTTAAATATGGAGAATATTAAATTTACTAAGTATATGTCACTCAAGTTTATGAAAATTCTGGACAAACTTGTTTTAGAATGATTCTGTGGTTAATTAAGCTCTATTTGGAGGCACAAATACAATTTATTTCAATATAATAGTACTTACCAAATGAAACAAGGAGTTTACATACTTATCAAATATTTCATCCCAAACAGTGCAATATAATGATGCTCTAAGACATACAAAATTAACTTAACTTACAGTATTATTGTCTATTATTGTCAAACTCGATTCAACAGAAACTTGAAAGTACATCATACTTGACTAGGTCAAACTACTACTGAGTTCAAATAATTGATATGGAAGTATTTTGGAAAAGTGCCAACAGTGAGAGCAGTTTAAAAAGCAGCCCGTTTCTACAGAAATTGTGACAGTGACTACTCATCACATTCTCTGCAATATTACAAAGCACTCACACGAATTCTGGGGAGTGATACCCTGGACACACAGCTTATTTCACATTAGTGAACAAATCCAAAAATTTTTATAACAATTCTGACTTTGGGCCAGAAGATAAAATATCCCATATTTACATATGTACAAACCCTAACTTCTAACCTATTAGTTCTAAAAATGGCTTTTTGACTTGTTTTCAGAGGAAAAAGTGTACAATGCACTTGTATTTGTGCTTCTGAATTAAGGAACAATATACATTAAGTGGAAAAAAAAAAAAAGCTTGGGATGGTACTATCTACTTAAATTATGTACATGATCTTTGGATATTTGAGAGAATCAGTTTAACTGACCCTTGCCTTAGAGCAACTTAATTTTCTAAAGTTACCCAGGAAATGTATTCAACCATTTACAAAATCAAAACATCTAAAGTGTACTTTATAAAATCATGATCTTATTTACCTGCCTATTCTTCTACAAGATAGGTATACATTAAAAAATTTTGCTCAAAAACATAAAAATATATATTATTTCTTTGACATTTAGGTACATAAATATTTTACTAAAGATGCATCATCACTCAATAAACAAATGCAAAAACTGCTTTATAAAGTGTAGTTCTCTGCTAATTAGCAATATAAAATACAAAATGATTACAATATAATTAACCATTAAAGAGCTAAATTCGAGAGATTTGCAAACCAATACAGCAGTGAACAGCCCCTTGTACAAAAGTCCATTAAGAAAAAGTCAATTTTGTAACAGATTACATAAAAATGTAAGCCAATAAATGCATTATAAATGCAAAAGAGAGCATTGCTTCATCAGCACATTCTTCAGTCTTGTTTGAACTAGATGCCAAACTTACTGTTCACTTTTCGGTTCATCTTGTTTTCCATTAAGTTCTTGATCAACTCTGTTCAACAAAATATACAGAAAATGAGGTACCAGTAACTAAACAAACCTTTCTAAAAACAGTAACTACTTTTAACATAGAATATTATTCTGTTAAAAAAACAACAACAACAAAGCTGTGCAAAGAAGCAGACACAGAAAAAGATTACCAAACATTATTTCCCCAACCAGAAAAGAGAATTTTTAAAAGACAGGACACTGGCAAGAAACATGACTACAGTTTCTTCAAAGACTATAAAATACTTTACATACAAACTCATAAACTTCCTTAAAAGTTCATGACATAGTGTGGCTGCAGCAGGGATTCAAGGGCTAAGAGACTGGCAACATGAAAAATAACTCCCTCAAAAAAGATTTTATTTACTGAAATATGAAGGGAGATGGGGGTTTAGCTCAGTGGTAGAGTGCTTGCCTAGCATGCCTGACGTCATGGATTCACAAAGAAATATTAAAGTGTCACTAAAGCCACTAAATCATCATTAAATGATTATATGATCTTAAGTTCAGCAAAAAATGCATGCTTATTGAAACCTAATCATTCTCCAAAATTTATTGGTACACTGTGAATGTCTTTCACTTATGTTGATAATAAGAAACTGTTAAGAATTTAAAACCAAGAAATACCTAAATGTACATTAAAAAAAATCTCTAAATTAGAGATGAGTGGTTGTTGAACAGAGGCAGTATAAATATTTAGGCACATGGAAATTTGAAGGATTACATAATTATTGCATAATTTTAGACAACCCTTTAAAGACAATATACAACAGTCTATTACTCTCATATATGTAGTAATTTGAATAACTTATGTGGGGACATTTAAAATAATCTGGTATGATGCAGGAAGAGATTATCATACTTGTTTCCAGTACTATGATCATTAGGACCATTACTATGATCACCTGAATATTAGTGAATCAGATCTAAAAGCTCTGGCCTGGCTGGGTTTGGTGGTATATGCCTATACACTTACAGACTTGGGAGTCTGAAGCAGGAGGATCCCAAGTTTGAAGCCAGCCTCTGCAACTTAGCCAGATCCTGTCTCAGAAATAAAAATGGGCTGGGGGTGTAGCTCTGTACCAGTACCAAACAAATAAAAAGCTGTGGTCTGTTGTAAAACTGGATTAACATTTAAAAATATTCTTTATAAATATTTGAAAGATCTGATAATCATAATTATTTTATTTTTAAGCTGTTGAAACAGTTTTACAATCCCTAGCTACCTGGCCACACTGGCATGGAGTTATTTGAAAGAAACATCTGAGACATTTAAAACTGCTGTACTTCAATATTCACAATACTCAATACCCTTTTAAACACCAATACTTTACATGGAGATATTGCCTTACATAAGGTCTCATACCTAGCCATTATTTTGACTTTAAGAACAATTTTCTGTATTAAAATTGAATTTTATTATTCTCAAACTGATAATGATTTATTATTTTTTAAGGCTAAAGAAACTCTGTATAAAAATTAAGTTACTTAAGATATATGTAATATTATTATTTAAGGTTAGACACAAACAAAGGTGAAAAACAAAATCAAAATAATAGCAATAGATTTCAAATAATGCATTTAAATAAAAAAGTATGAGTCCCATTTTTTTTCTGCTACTGAAACTATGTGATAGTTGATTAAACACTAAAAACTTTAAAAAAGATATCATACAGCACATTTCTTCAACAAAAGCAATTCATTTTAAAATCCAGGAAGTAGCTGGCTTCAAAACATTCTACGATTATAGATTTTATTTTAAATTCCAGCCACTTGTCCCGCAAATGCAAAGCAATGCTTAAGAAAGGAATGAGAAATCAGCATGATATATAAACACTGACCACACTCTTGCAAAGTGTCATAGAGAAATATAAACCTATATCACATGGTCAACTGAATTCTCAACAAAAGAATTGAAAATATATTCAAAATTAAGAATGTTCCAGTACGTTACTTATAGGTGGATCCAGTTTAGCTTGTCAAAATGATTAATACATATATGATAACCTTTCATCTTAATTCTGAAGATTTATTAAACCATGTTTTGCTAATGTAAATATTTTTTTAAGAATCTATAAACAAATTAGATCCAAATTAGATCTAATTAGATCTAACAAATTAGATCCAAAATCTACTTTTCTAAACTACTTTATAAAGTGGTAACTATTTTATACCTTGCCTTTTCATCTTCTATGCCAAGATATTAACAGATAACAGTTTGTTATGCTCAAAGCAAAAGTATTCAAAATTTAATTTAAAATGGAAAGCAGAGTGTTTAACTGTTAAATGGTACATTGAACTTTTAGGTACTTTACCACATGTACAATTTGACTGGTTAGCAGGCTATTTAATTTAAGCATACAAGGAAATCAATGTTGGTTAGCTAAAGAGTATTTGCATTGCAAATATAATCAACCCCAAGAAACAAATTTGATTACTTAAGGAAGTTTGCATACATATTTCAAAGCACTAAGATTTAAAGAAAGGAATGAAACAGATAATCTTAAAAGTATTGGTTATTTTAAATAGCATTCTCAGTAATTTCTGTGGTTTCACCAATAGTGTTCAGATCAGTAACAAAAGAAGAAGGGCTTTAATTACTAACTGGCATTATATTTGGTATTAAAACAGGGTGAATCCAATCATTCAATTTTAGGACTCTGGATTTTCTATATTTGGATGTTGGGATGTATTTATATTTACAAGTGCTATTATCTTTCTCTACAAGCTAACCAACCAATAAAGAAGAGTTAGTCTGTGCAATGCAAATGGACTAGTCTAGATGCAACCCAGTCAAGGTGTGCATATACCTTTTGTGTTTCTTTTTAAACTTTTCTTCTTCATACCTTAGTAAGGAAGAGTTACTTCAGTAAATACACATTATGAGATTAACAAAAACTTAAACAAACAAAACAGACTAAAAATGAAATCATATTAAGTCTCTAGGAAAGACCAAAAAAACTGAACATATTATGTAGTAGGTAAAAATTAACTTAATAAATCTGGCATAGACATATTAAAAAGACCAAACCTCAGATTAGACTTATACCAATTCTTTTTAGAAGCTAGATGGAAATAAGTGAATCTGGTAAACAGAACAAATTCCACTCACTGATAAGTATTAGGGTTAGGCTGATTTAATTAATAATTTATTTTTTATTTAGCAATGTGATTTTTCAAATGCTATGATGAGTTTACTCAAATTTGGAGAGCAACATGTTTAAGTACAGGGAATGTTCTTTAGTACTAACCTATCAGGAAATCATCTCTTAGATTGTAACCAGTCTTTAAAAAGCTGTTATAAAATATGTGTAGTAAGAAATATTGAAAAATATTATCTTACACATCAAAATATAAAGATCCAATACAATTAAAGGAATAAAACAAAACATACTGTTTTATGCATTCTGGTATGCCAACATATTCCATGGGAACAAGTTCCGCTAGTTCTGCCAAATTAAAGACGTATCTAATTTTTTGGCTGAATTTCGAGCTATGAAAAAAAATAAAAACAATTACCTCAATATTTCTGACTATGAGTACTGACAAGAAATTTAAATAAGGAATTTTTTTCTACATGAATAAAACTACCTAATAAATGGTCTTGTAACAGCCAGGAGTGTTCTGATAAACCAAGAGGGATGCACAATAATTAGGGATTTTAGGTTTTTCCGTAACCTAGAAAAAAGGAAAAAAAAATTATAAATTTTCTACAAATTATAATGCTTTTAAAGACATGTGCCAGTTTATACAAAATAACTGAAAAATATCACCCCAAAAGTTCTCATTTATGTATTAATACTTTTAAAGACAAAACATTCTTGAACTATGATGGCTCCCTTCTACTGCTATGAAAAAAAAATTATTTCATTTGGCCAAATATATATGTGTGTGTGTGTGTGTGTGTGTGTATATATATATATATATATATATTATAAAATGTTATTAAGTGTCTCCTAGCATTCATTCACTGGTCTTCAGAACTTGTCAAACAGGGAAAGACTAATATAGAACATAAAAAGCAAACTATTTTTCTTTTTCAAGACTAGGGAGAAATTGGTACTAATTTCTTCAATACCATGAAAGACTCTGTGCAGGCAGAAGTGGGAGGAGAACCACGAATCACATCTAATGTGTATACTTATTGTGACTAAAAATTAAAGACATTATACAAGACCTCTTTAAACAACCAAATTAAAAATGTTTATTTATCGGGCTGGGATTGTGGCTCAGTGGTAGAGTGCTCGCCTTGCACAGGTGGGACCCAGGTTTGATCCTCAGCCCCACATAAAAATAAAGGCATTGTACTGTGTCCATCTACACCTAAAAAAATAAATATTTAATTAAAAAAATGTTTATTTATCATGCATATTTCACACAAAGTGATCATCAAATACATATATATTTATTTAATTACCAGTGTGAACCAATGCCAAATTTAGGTACCTATTAATGGATCTGAGTTGAATTAACCATAGCAAGTTAAACCAATTGGAAGATTCAAGTTCCTTCATTAGCACAGACAACTAATTCCTGAGATAATATACTCTACGTATATTTTGGAATTTGTTCCAAAGAAAAATTAGAGCAAAACTAGTACCTTTAAGGAACATAAAACATACTAAGAAGTATAAATAAGGAAACACTCAAAATTTAAAAGGAAAAGAACTAGGTTCTCCATCTTTTCCCAAGACGTAAATTGTAGTAAAGTGTTTTAAATGGTATGAGGGATAATAAAGTGCAATCTTAGCAGTTTGTTTAAAGAATTATTCTTTATGGCACAGATCAAAATTAGTTTACTACATGACATTGGGAAATACTGTCTTTAGAAAATAGAGACATATTATGAAATTAACACTTAATAAGTGGCTATAGTATTTTTTTTTTTTTTTAAACTCTGATACCAAGGATTGAACCCAGAGGTGCTTAACCACAGAGCCACATCTAGCCACTTTTATTTTTTTTATTTTGAGACAGGACCTCACTAAGTTTGCTGAGGCTAGCTTTGAACTTGTAATCCTCCTGCATCAGCCTTCTAAACTGCTGGGATTACAGGCATGTGCCACTGCACCCAGCAAGAAACAGAGTATTTTTAAGTGGGAATCAAATATAAAACTTAACTGAATAAAAGCCATCTGTAAAAATTATTCAGTTTTTGTTACCTTCTATCAATTTGCTGATAACATTTTCTGAGCCATCCCAGACTGGGCATTTTTCTTCGAGTTGTTGCACCATTTAAATAAACTATCATGTAGTTTTCTGCTACTAATAGCTCCAAAGTGCCAATAACATACCTGCAAAAATAAATTAAGTTTAACTCTTAAATATCACTGTGTAAAACTGAACTAGGTTCTACAAATTATACAATTCCCTTCTCTCCCACTTGATGCATTAGCTGGCATTATAATTACTTAAAACCAAGTTATTTTTTAGATATAAATATTGAAATATTTATAGATTAAATGACATGATGTTTGGGATTTGTTTCAAAATTGAACAGTGGGGAAAGAATTAGGAATGAAGTCTAAATTGGTAATTGCTGAAGTGGGTGACTTATATATGAAGATCTGATATACTTTTCTGTATATGATTTAAAATTTTTCACAAATACATTTTAAAAACTGCACCCAGAATAATCTCAGAAATAGAACAACTCTTTGGAAATGTAAGAAGTGAGTCAGCTCATTACATTAGGCTTCTATGGGTAAATGTAATTTAGCCATATGATTCTAAGAGGAAAGTCACTTTTTTATATTTATTTATCCTCAGATGTATATAAAGAAGTTGGAAGAGATATGAGATATACCTTCTAATTTAAAAAATGCCAATCTTTTTGTTGAGTTGGAAAACTATAGTTTCATAATTCCAAAGAGCAATGACTTAAAAGAGTCAGAATTCTGTCTAAACATTTTAAGATATACTTACTTAAAGAGATTGTCCATCAGGTATCTATAGTTAGGTTGACCACTTTCAGGCATAAAACAGACAGCAAACACAACAATGGCATTTAATCCATCTCCATAATATCCTGAAAAAGAAATCAAAGACAAAATCACTAGCATGATTTTACTCTTAAGATTTTTTTTATAGGACATCAGTATGATTGATAGAAAATAATCAATTAGCACAGTTAAAGAGCCATATTTTAGCAAGTAGACAAATAACATGATATAATCCCAAAAGACAACATCTGAAATAAACATTTTATGCAACTTAACAGGTAAAGTGGGTGTTTTCTAAAAGTGAGTTTTAGAAAACACCCACTTTACACAAAACAATGCCTAATGTTTTGTAGAATTGAGGAGATCAGAACCAAGAAAGAATTATATCTCTGACATAATTCCCAGTGGAAAAAAAAGGTACTAATGTGTTTCAACTGCAATATTTAGATATTAAGCTGTATTCAGTAACAATATTTTTGCTTTAACCATCATTTCTATTGTTTCTTAATATGAACTGAAAAGACTGAACATTTCAAGAACATTAGAATCTTCACTAACTTTCCTAATTCCTTAATTACAAAACACATTAAGTGTAATTGTCCAATATAATTATTTTTCTGTATAAAAAATAAAGTGCTATTTTTGAAAGATATTAGGTTTAAATCATAAGGCAGGTCTCACAACTTTATTTCTACCAATGAGCTGAATTAATGCATGTTGGACTTCCTGATTCAGATTATCCTGTTTCCTTCATCTGAATAAGATTAAATTAGGCAGAAGAATATTACTGCAAATATTCAAGTGATTTGCTTTCAGATGAATGAAGACTGTAGAAATAAGCAGGGGAAAGCATTTGGCAGAAAGTAAATCAAGCAGAAATGATTCTATGTAGAAAATAAAATCAGCTTGTATGCCTCTGTCCAGTGTTAGGAGGATTTAAAGAAACAAGATGTGCTCTATAGAATGATTTGCATTCTGACTTTCTGGCACTATTTACACAGTACCCAGGTTAACTTCTATATGTGGTACAGTCAGACTGACAGGATCTTGTACTTTCCTAGCTGTCCCATTTGACTAGAAAATTTCCTAAGGGAAGGAACTAAACTTTATTATTTTTGAATACCCCATAAATATGCAACATGGATGCTCTACAAAATTATAGAATGAGCTAGTTCTCCAGTAAAGCTAAATGGTTTGTTAAGGGCTTTAAGGTAAATTAAGAGTTACAGTTTACTAATATCAATCCAAGTTTTACTAATATCCAAGAAAAAATTTGTATAAGAATGTTCACCAACAGTCATATTCATAAGTAGTCTTATTCATAGTCCAAACTGGAAGTGATACACATGACTATCAAAATGAAAATGGATAAATAAATGTAATTCATTTATGCAATGGGCTAGTATTTGGCCATATAAAAGAATAAATTATAGCCAGGCATGGTGGTGAATGCCTGTATTCTTAGCTACGAGGAAGACTGAAAAGGAGGATTTCAATTCCAGGCCATACTGGGCAATTTAGTGAAATTGTAAGAGTGTCTCAAAATAAAAAATAAAAAGGGCTAGGGATGTAATTCAGTGGTATAACATCCCTGTATTCAATACCTGGCAGTGGGGGTAAAAAAGATGTGTGCAAGAACATGAAGGAATCTTAAAAACATGCTGAAGAAGAGTGGTAAACAAGAATGCATACTATGATTTTGCATAAAATTCTAGAATAGGCAAAACTAATCACAGGGGTAGACATTAGAGTAGTGGTTACCAGAGAGGGGGAATTCATTGGAAAGGGTTATTAAGAGAATTTTATGGGGCAATGAAAATGTTCTATATATTCAGGAGTGGGCATATGTGATTATGTAAGTATTTGTCAAAACTCATTGAACCATATATACTTAAGATCACAGCATTTTATTCTATATAAATTATAAATGCATACAAAGGGGAGAATTAATAAACTCCCTGTTTTAGGTGGTATAGAGATAGGGGCAGATGGGAAATAGTTCTCACTGCACTTATTTTGGTATTTTGAACTTACTATATGCATATATTAATAATTTTTAAAAATTAATTAATTCATTTTGTTACACATGACAGCATAATGCTATAAATTATAGTTCATATTACACATATAGAGCACAATTTTTTATCTCTCTGGTTGCATATAAAATATATTCACACCATTTGTGTCTTCATACATGTAGTTAGGGTAATGATATCCATCTCATTCCACCATCTTTTTTACCCTCATGCCTCCTCTCTTTCCCTCCCACCCCTCTGCCCTCTCTAGAATTTGTCTATTTCTCCCATGCTCCCCCTCTCAACCCCACTATGACTCAGCCTCCCTATATCAGAGAAAACATTTGGCATTTGGTTTTTTGGTTAACAATTTTTAAATGTAGGTTTTATCCTTTTACTTCAAACCTGTTATGTTCCTAAAACAATATGAGAAATATTTATTATGTTTTCAAAGTTATGCAAGATCTCTGGGGATATTTTCTGAAAGCATACAGAGTTCTGATGTTGCATTAAAAAAATCTGAACAAACTTCAGTAACTTTTACCTCCATGACTGATAACTTTTTTATAGGGCTCAATTGCCTTCATATCAACCCTGTGGTCCTGTTCTCCAATCCTGAACATACGCCAGCGTCGTCCATCTTCTTTTTCTTCTGCTGCTGAATATTCAGTGATTGAGCCTTTCCTAATTACTTCTGTTGTTTTGGGTTTTGGAAGATCATCTGTCAAAATAAAAGGGTTTTGAATCACAAATTGTTATTTCTATAATAAAAATCAAGTTATAAGTTAACCACTTCACTATCTAGATTAGTTAGAGATTTCTTTTTTCTTTTGAGATGTGGTCTTTATTGTCCAGGCTGGCCTCAAACTCCTGGGCTCAAATAATCCTCTCCTGGGCAACTGGGACTAAAGGTGGATGCCACCATGCAGAGAATTTTTGCTACACTGTCTGTGGAATTTGAAATATCCCTTCCATAATACAGGAAAAGGCTTGCTTTTAATTTAAGGCCATTTATTCCTTTGGGAATCACAGTTTTATAAAACTTTTTATTGCCCAATTCAACAAGGACAGTTAATCACAGTGCAATGTCTATCAACAAGTTCAGGAAAGACAATTCATAGAGCCATATGAGTCTTTAATACATTGACCCTTCAGGCATTTCCAGATCTCTCTTACGGATAGCACTGTCCAAGACAGTTACTACCACAGGTTACTTCAAGTAACTGAGAGTTGATTTCTTTTTTAACACATAAATTATTTCCTCCAAATTGTAATACCAGATAGAAAGTGGTTAACTACTCAATAATCATTTCTCATTTGATCAGTTTTATGAAGCAGAAAAGTATTTATAATATTAAGAAGAATACATGCAAAAGTCTATTTAAATTACCATTAGCAAAAGCATAAGCATCAACGATTAGATGTAATTTATATTTCAAGATTGCAGTAGCTGATTTTTAATGAAATAATGATTTTCAAAATTTTAGTATCATAGTCCTTACCAAAAGATGGGGGGAGGGGAAACCTACTGCATGTTAGTTGTTTGTTTCCAAGACAAAGCTGTTAACGAAAATATCCTTCCAGGAAATGACTACAGCAGCATTAAAGAAAGAAGAGACAAAACACATAGGCAGAAAACTATTTCAGTATCTTATAAAATATTGCTTGTTACTGGACTGCTTATTGAACCAGTAAAACAGGGAAGAAGAACAAAAGACACAGCATATCACCTTCACTGCAGATAAAATACCTACTGCTAAACACTGCTTTGAAAAAAAAATCACTTTAAAGATAAATAGATATAAAAATTATTAACTATATAAAAATATGTAATAAGAATTATAATGTATTCCGCTGTTATATATAAATAAAAAAACAATTATTTAACTCAAGAAAGCATGCAAAACAAAACACATGCCAATTCCTTTGAATTCTAAATAATTAAAATGATAAATATCAGGTTTGGGGGCTAAGAGTATATATTAATTCAAGTTGGTAATTTCATAAAGTAGAGCACTACCCAGGCAACCTACTTTAAAATCACCCTCCTAAGTCTCCCTTCAGAACTTCCTCTCCACACTTTTAGCACATTCCTTATTTTATGTCTCTTGGAAGGATTTTTTTCCTTACTTGGTCAACTGAAAAAGACCTAACTATCCAGCAATATTTTTTTATGCTGATAAAAAGAAACAAAAATTGAGCATTATGAAGAAAATACAGCTACATATATAATCTACTACAAAGAGTTTTAAACACTATAAAATATTCAGATGTTTGCAGAAATTTTAACTTAAATATACAAACACTGAAAAGAATAACATATTTTGAACAAAATCCTCTAATACATGGGTTTTAGTAGGCTTCATGAACAAAATTTTAAGGCTTATCAAGTATTTCCTAAAGAGAATACAACTGCAAAAACATGTGTCTATGTGCTTATATATATGTAAAGATAAACATTCATTAATAAAAAGATCAGCTAAGCAGTAAAACAATTACCTTCCCACTCAAACTCGTTACTGTTCTCTGATGGTGTGTCTAAACCATCCAAGTCAATCTCCCCACTTTCATCCAAATCATCTGACAACACAGAGCCATCACCGGGATCCAGTGTCAAGCTAATCTCTGGAGCCATTAGTTTCTTTCTTACTTTATTTCCATTAACTTCTAGTAAGCCTGAAAGTGGAAAACACACACACACAACAATAGTAGAAGGAATGCTCAGATGATAAAGTTAAAAGAGAAACACTTCAGCCACTTTATTCTTGAGAAAAACAATATTAAACAAAATCCCCAAGCACTGATTTATGAAACTTGAAAAAAATTTTTTTAAACTGTCGACGGACCTTTATGTATTTTTTATTTATATGTTGTGCTGAGAATTCTGAATCCAGTGCCTCACATGTGATAGGCAAGTGCTTTAACCACTGAGCTACAACCCCAGCCCCAAACCTGGAATTTTTGGTGGTACTAGGGATTGAACTCAGGGGTGTTCTACCAATGAGATTATTTTTATTTTTTGAGAAAGGGTCTCAGTAAGTTGTCTGGTCTGTTATGGAATTTGCAATATTTTGGCGTCAGCTTCCCAAGTAGCTGGGATAACAGGCATGGGCCAACCTACCCAATTTCATCACTATTGCTTTTATATCACTGGCAAGAAAACAGTGGGGTATATATGTCTTTTTAAGTAACAGACAGACTTCGCAGTCACCTTTACCACTAAAAACCTATTTCCTCCGACTTGCAAAAACTTCTAAAAACTGAGGATTGTCTTTTTTTTTTTGAGAGAAAAATTTTTTAATATTTATTTTTTAGTTTTCGATGGACACAACATCTTTATTTTATTTTTATGTGGTGCTGAGGATCGAACCCAGCACCCCGCACACGCCAGGTAAGCGTGCTACCGCTTGAGCCACATCCCCAGCCCTGAGGATTATGTTTTTGAGGGTTAAATTCCCCATGCACTTCAAAAGTGTTTTCCTCAATGTTCAATTTATCCTTTGGCTCCTTAGGATGGAGTAAAAGCTCATTGTGGCGTTTTTTTTGTTTGTTTGTTTTTGTGTTGATAAAGAAATATGTTAAAAATAACACCAAGTCCATTGGCAGTACAGGTATCAAATTCTTACCAGGCTGGCTCTCTGGTCCAGTTACATCTAGTATATCTGCTTCAATACTATCATCTTCTGGTAAAGGTCTGGAAGACACAAACATACTCTTTAATGCAGAAATTAAAATTTTTTGAAGCTTAAAGATCTGTTAAAAATAAAGCTTATAGGAACAATTACATGGAAAACAGAACAATGCTGTTTCTTAAGATTTGGTAATTTACAAATCAATTTTTTAGAAAATTCTGTTGGGGTTACTTATATGTCTGTGACACATAAAAGTATATATAAATTCTTTATTCAACAGCTCTTATCCAATTATAAGACATAAAAATTATTAAAGAAATCATAAAACGATCCAAATGGATAAATATGATGTGGTGCATGATCATCACATAACAAAGCTACTTGCTTATTCACAATGAGAATATGGTAATGCTGGCTACAATTTGTTCGAGTTTGGCATTTCCAAATTACTATCATCATCATGTGCTAAAATGACTCAGTTCTCCCACCTGCTCCTGATGTCCATATGCCAATTGCTAAGGTACCTTACTGGGTAGTATGTTTTCTGATCATGATGGCACAAAAAGCATCATTTAAATAGAAGGCCTTTCTTTGCAAAGTGTCAAAGGGGCTAGTCAGATGATTCAGAAGATCCTTGTTTATTTATTTACTAAGTTTTTTTCTTACAAACAACTTAAAACTCCCTTCTCCTAGAAGCCTCTCATATTCGAGTTCTAAAAATCCCACATTAAAATATTGTTCATTAGAGAAATATTTTGAAACTTAAATGATCAAAACAGTTAAGAAAAATAAAAATTACATATATGTTGAGATGGAAGAAGAGAATCATTCCCAACTACTGCAAAGGAACTTTCAATTCCCAGTATTTAATAACCACCTTGTTAATACTATTTTTTTAAAAAAAAAACCTAATATTCATTAAGTAACATCTCAAAAAAAAATTCTGAAGTTTTGTTCTACATTTGTTTTCATCAAAAAGCAATGCTCACATTGGAAAATCTTCATCTTGCCATTCTTCTTTCAGTTCTACACCTTCCATTCTCAGCCTGGATTCAATGTCAACTATTGACTCCTGATAATCCAGAGAGCCAATGTCCTGTGAAAAAAAAATTGACAATAACTTAATTTCCACTTCACATATTTATTGGCTGTAAAGGTGCAATCTAATACCTTAATATAATTTTCAGTTGCATATATGCAAATTGTGTCTCAAGCTGTGATTTAAATTGCATTAAAAAATTGAGGTAAGATAAGAAATTATAGTTAAATACAGGACTGGGTATAGTTCAGTGGTAGAGTACTTGTCTAGTATGCCCTGGGTTCAATCCCTAGTACTGAAGATAGAGCTTGATTCTAGAAATTGAACACTAGTAAACAATATTTATACTCAAAAGATTCAGCAGAGTCAAGTAGTATGCTACCATTTATATTTTCTTTATAGTTTTGATGCCACAATTCTTGAATCAGTCTATTTAGTAACTTGTCCAGTAAACAGAATTAGACTAACTTTTGATCTGCTTCCTATGTATACCATGTTTTTTCACACAGTGTAACTTTTCAGACTGAACTTAGTGGTATTTTACTGTAAGCAATTATATATTTTAACTTGTGTTATAGACTTTTATTTTAGTTTTTTAACAAAGGGCATGAATGCTCCCCCCACCCATCCTCATTTTACAGTGAGTCTAGAGATCCTCCCTTTGGTTGATGGAGTAAGTTGATAGATATAGAAGTCATGAAAAGTGGCTGGTAAAGAGTGCAACAAAAACAGTGACAAATACAGGCAATGAGGTATATGTAAGTATTTAGTTCATTTACATTAAAGTGAATCAGTAGATGAAGTTATTTAAAAAACAGCAGTAACATATTTCTTAAGACCCATGGAACATGACTAGAAGTACTAAAAACAAAGTTAACAAGTAGCTGATGCCAACAGAAGAGGAAAGAGGGTGGTATGGGGAGAAAGATTCTTAACATAGCAGGTCTTTACTGTTTTCATAATAAGCCTTTCTACACTACTTGATTTTTTTAAAACTATGTGGTATAATTTAAAAAAGTACTTTTCAAATAAAATAAATGATACCAGTTATACCAGTTGTTCTTCTAAAAGATGCGGTCTTGTTTTATGTTCACCTTATGTCATTACAATACTCAAAGAATATAGTAAGTCATACCAAAAACAGCATATGTTCCAGGACAACAAAATTACAATGGAGATTTCTTAAATGTTTTAAACTTCACATGTTAAACTAAATTCTGTTGTCAGTCAAGACTGAGAGGGTCTTCCAGTACACATCCAGAGGAAGGTTTCAAACATTCTCAAAAGGTTTTACGTTTTTGAAGACCTACTCACTGGCACAGAAAAAAATGGCAGATGCTGACTTTTCCTCACAAAAATATTTGCTTGGAAAAATTAGTTTATTATGTACAGGAATAAGGAACTTTTAATTCTGAGAAAACAATGAGCCAGGCAATTTGGAAAAATTAATGGGGAAAAAAAAAGACTTAAAATACAATGATCTTGATTTATTTAGCAGTTTCTGTTTCTAATACATAATCTATACTGTATTAACATCCATTTTCAATGATGACTTTATAGATTTCGTTCTGACAATAATCTTATTCTGTAAAGAGGATGAGAATCAATGGGAGTGGGGACACAACTGACTTACCAAACAACCCCTTCTGTTTATATAATGAATTGAAAAAAAGACTAGTTTCTTCTAGATGGTTAATTTGCTGTATTTCTTAATGTTTTCTCAAGTCTTTGGTACTTGCTCTACAGTGAACAAATATATTTCTCTAAATTCAATATAATCAGAGATGCTTCCCATTATCTTGTCTCACTTTTCTATAATTGGAAAAAAATATTAGGATAAGCTAGTTTATCTTTCTCAAATAGTTCAAATAATCAGAAAATATTTAATATTTACAAAATAACTCAATTACTGAAAGTTGCAATCAATATATTCCCAACTCCTAGAACACTGCTTGGCACATTTCAGGCCTACAAATATTAAGTGGGAAAAATACTTAATTGTAAGGTATGACACTGGATAGAAAACTGTTGTTCAGCCTTAGGATTATTTTGCTTGTTAAATAAGATTCTTGTTATGTTTTACCCTTCAAAAATGTAGTGAAAATACTTTGTAGGAACCCACATATGTGCAATATAAATTTCTGTTGGCAAAATTACTCCTTATTTGTAAGAAGAAATATTTCTACTGTGAAAATCTAGAAGAAAAACCAAGTCTTGTAGCTAATTTACCACTTGAACAAGCTTATCACTTGCAAAACGCTCCTTTAAACACAGAAAGCCAAGTCTTTCAGTTATTTCAACCTACGTATTCAACTTTTACTCTAAAATATTGAATGATGTAATGTTAATACATCTCAGTTATGCTGTTATGGACATTTAGTTTGATGGTTAATTAATTAAGCTAATTCAACAGAATATGAGAGTGAGAAACATGATTAACTCCACCTTTCAACAAGAACTTTAGGAGAACAGTACATTAGGTAGATAAAAACAATTTCAACAATTCAGAGAACTGTTCTTGGAAGCACTTTATCACCAAGCAGCTGTAAGAACAGGAAACAAACAAGAAAGGAGTTAATGTAAGCACAACCACTTTGAAGGAAATCAGGATATTGCTGACTCACAAGTTAACTGTGGTTGTTTCCCATTTTTTGTTCAAAGATTTCTCTTTTTTAAAGGAGAATGGGGAAATAATACTTTACTATGTTACTTGTGAAAATAACCTAATACAATAGAAATAATCTGATTTCTCAATAGATTGGTGGTAGTGATAGCATATCCTTATTTATGATAGGTATCTGTGGAGGTCATAATAATGAATTTCAGTCTTTGACATCAGTGAGATTAAAAATCAAGGAGAGAATGGATTTCCTTCTAATAGCTTCAGAAGGGAATTTCCACGCATAGCTGAACAAGCAAAAATTAAAAATTAAGATCATATTTAGAACTGTATAGACTATAACTTATAATTGTACTCAGCAACTTTACTATTACGTAGTTTAACACTGCTTCTAGAATAGGTGCAAGTAATGACCATCTCTGCTGAAATCAATTACAGCTTGCAGAAAGAAAACCCAGATAAGTCTTTTACTTACCCATTTAAAAGAAAATATTTCATTCTAAAATATTGGTATTCACTTTTTAATGAACAGCCTGCATATTTATGAAGATCATTAAGACATGCCTGCCATTGCTCCCCTTGGGATCAGGTAGGTTTCTAAGAATGCAATGAGATCTCTATCAGAAATGTTAACACAAAATTTAAAGAAAAACTGTGGAGTGGTGTTGACATTTCATATAAGTGTGGAAATAAAGTGCAGAATAGTTATGCCACCTACATTTACTAAATTTTCAGTGTGCAGAATATGCTAGAGACGCTCTGATACTTCTAAAAACATTAAAATCTAACACCTGTAACAGAGTTATAATTTTGGTTATAATATAAAACTATAATTTTGAAATATTACTATTCTGCTTCATAAGATGTAAGGTTAATGAGATACCTTTTTATCCTGTCAAAGAGAATTTATCAGATGTACGCATGTGTGTATACACATACATATACATACACACACACACACTCTTACTTTCTGGATGCCTTCCCCCCTTATCACTCCATCAGCCTACAATGGATACAATGGATAGAACAACTGTCCCAAAGAGTGTTTTTCACATTTACTAACCACTTTTGTTTTTTCATCTCATATGTTTCAATCAACAACTTTGTAAGGTATAAAACATTGGTATTATCATTTTCATTTTATCTTATTTATATGAGTCAAATGACAACACACCCTCCTTCCCAGATATGGACCAGAACTATTTCTATTATAGTACACTGTCTCCAGTTCACTGGCAACTTTATACAGAATAAATCTGTAATGCCAGATTTGGTTACACTTGGCTTCAAAAGTCCTGTAATGCCTAACAACCATAATAGTTTTTTTGTTTTGTGATAAGCTAGTTTAACTTTCATGTACAGAGGGTGGGTCTGTAATAGTTCCTGTACATGCCCAAGATATTAGGCTGCACTAGAAACTATTATGAAGACTAGAATAAGAGTTAAGAGAGAATGTAAATGACAAGATCTAAGGAGAAAATGTACAATATAACCAAAAAACTACTAGTTTGCAGGAACTTAATTGGTGATTTTGGCTATGACTTCCGAAAGCTTACACATTCACAAATTACATAATTTCTTTTACAATTGCAGAAATTTTTATAAAACATTTGGAAAGATACATTTAACTGTAAATACAAAATCAAACATTTGGAAAAAGAGAGCCTAATTCAAACAAAGTTGAGGATGAAAAAAGCAACACTAAAATGCAAAGACACACTTCATTCAACTAATGGGAGGCACCATGACTACCTTGATGGAGCACTACAAAAGCAGTGCCCTCAGAGTTGCCAGGACAGACAAAAGAAGTTTCAAAGAAACCTAATAAAGACCCAAATATGTTTCTGACTTAATATGACCTGGTCTAGTAATTATACTTCGAGAAAATCCAAACCATTTTTTCCTAGATATTTTAACAAGAAAGGCGTGGTGAAAACACGCAGGACTCAGCTTTTCATGTACACACCTATATTTGTTTTAGCTTCCCAGAAGATCTATTAAAGCCCTGGTTACTTATGCTGTTTCCGTGTCTATCCCCCGAGGGTGTGAGGCACACCAGAAGTCCAAGTTTCTTTGTTCTGCACCTGGGCTGACGCTGGTCATAAATAAGGAACCAAAGTTGTCCGTCAGCGCACCAAGGCTGGGGTGGCGGAGGGGGAGGGAGTAGAGAAGAGGGACGATTCCATCTCAGGGACAACCATTAAACGGAAAAGCAGGAGGCGGGTGGGGGCAGGGAGCGGGTGTTGGCAAGCGCGAGCAGAACCCAGGGCGGGGACCTAGGCTGGGCGGGGATCCGGAAAGCACCTCCGGAGCAGGTTCCGAGGCGCCCCCTACAACGCACACCCCACTGGGTTTCCCCTCCCCGGGGGGCGGTGGGCACACGCCCCACAGGCGTCCGCCCCCAGGCTTGTTCCCAGCCCGGACTCGCAGTGCCGGGTCCTCCCAGGCCGCACTAACCCCGGAGGAAGCCTTGGCCCCCTCGTCCTCTTCGCCCCTCCAGGCCGGCGACGTGGGGCTGACGGCCAGGTCGCAGAAGGCGGCAAAGAGCGGAGCCCGCTCCCCTCAGTCAGCGGTAGAAAACCCAGCCCCGTTTCCCGGCCACAGCTGTAGAAGAGGCGACAGAAGCTGACCCGGACGCAGTGAGATGCCCCAGCGGAAGTGACTACCTCCTGGCCTTCTCTAGGCGCGGCAGCAGGCGGAAGCGGAGGCGTGGTGTCATTTTTGAAACCCACGGCGTCGCCCCGCCTCCTGGGCGGTCGCAGGCTTAAATTAGCATGTGCGCGCACGCTCGCTCTGCGTTCCAGCTGGTGGGGCTGGTGGCTAGGACGCACCACTGGACTCTCGGTGCTTCCTCGGCTTTTGCTGTTAGCTGGGATGCTGGCCTGCAGTTGCGACGAGGCATTTTTTTTTTTTCTGCTTGTCTCTATTGATCGTCACAATAACTGTGCATTACAAAATGGATAAAGGGAGGAAAAATTTCCGATGCTTCATTTTGGAGAGCTGGACATTAGAGGAATCCTTAGAGTTTGGTAATATTCCCCAGTGTGAACCGCTTGACAGCAGTGCTTCCCAAAATGTAGGGAGCGAAGCCAGCCTTAACTACTTAGCGAGGCCCTAAGCTACTCAGCGAGAACCCCATGTCTAAAAAGATGATGATGATATAATAATAATAATAATAATAATAATAATAAGAAGAAGAAGAAGAAGAAGAAGAAGAATGCGACTGGTAATGTGGCTCAGTGGTTAAGTGCCCCTGGGTTCAATCACGGTGGACCCCCACCTCCCCTACGTGTGGGGAGCGATTAATCTTTTTTTTTTTTTTCCTAGTTAGTTGTGGATCAGATTTTGATAAAACAGAACAGAAAAGTAAAAAAAAAAAAAAAAAAAAAAAAGACCTGCACAAAATCCAAGTAAAAACATTTTATTAGTAGAGCACGGGACATAAAGTTACTTGTAAAAATGCCGTAAAGGATCTCAATTTCTATACTTTTTTTTTTTTCCTGTGGACCAATAAAGAACAATTCTCAAAAGAGGTGAGGTCTGTGTACCACACTCAGAATCAAATGTCAGCTGGGACGCTGGCCTGATTTATGGTTTCAAGGAAATGAGATTACTTTGGAGAACTTCATAATCCCTCTCAGAAGTTTCATCTACTAAATCTATACAAAAGTCCAGCGGTCAACTATTTGGGCAATTCTATTAGGAAATGAGAAGGCCTGAGAGGAACAGAAAAGTAAAAATTCAAATAATTGACTCAAAATGCTGTTGACTAGATTCATGTTGCTTTGGCAACATTTACTCGCTGTTGGCAGTTAATTAACTCTTCTGTGCTTCATCTACAAATGGGGGGAAATAATGCCTACTTCGTAGGGTTTTGTGAGATAAAGTGATTTGTAAGAATAGTGGTTGGCATGTTGTAATCACATATAAGCATTAGGCATCATTATCATCCTCCTAGTAATTTCCCTAAATAGCTGGTAGAGAAAACAAACTAATCAACAGAGCTTTAACTAAACAAGTTGGGCATTTAAGAAATTTCATTCTTTGTTGCAGATTTTTCATAATTCCAAATTTTACTTTGTTTTGTAATGTGCAGAATTCCCCACAGGGTGGCAGAAAATTATTTGAAACCATGTAGAATTACCTGTTTTTGTGATCTTTCGTTTCTTCTTCATTTTAGTAACTTAAGCATTTAAGCTTTGATCAGTGTTTGGTTTTGAGTAAGCCATTATCCTATTTGTCTTTTCCCCCATCTTGATGAATTATCCACATGTATTGTTGAAACATTAGAAACCATAGGGAAACCAAAATAATAATCACTATTAATACATTTATATATATCTTTTCACATTTGTGTATACATATAACTATAAACTACATATGCTTTCATAATAATATATTTCATATATTAGTACATTATCCATATTTTTATGGATAATAAAATCATTATCCATAAAAATATGGATAATGTACTAATAGTTTACAATGTTATTTTTTCCTTTTTAATTTTTTAATTTGTTCTTTTTAGATATACATGACAGTAGAGTATATCTGGACATATTATACATACATGAAGTATAACTTATTCTAATTAGGATCCCATTCTTGTGGTTGTACATAATGTGGAGTGTCACTGGTGATATATTCATATATGAACATAGGAAAGTAATGTCCAATTCACCTATTTTCCTTTTCATATAAAAATATATCATTAACTTCTTTTCAGGTCAATAATTATATTTCAACATCATAATATTTATTATAACTTATTTATTAGCAATCTTTTATGGAACAATTTTTTACAGTTAAAAAACATTTCTTGGTGTGTTCCAAAAGTTGGAAACATAGGATTACCTTATATTCAAATAATAATTATACTTTGAAATAATATGCTCAATATACTTTTCTTCCACTTCTTACAAGAGTCTAATGCAATGGATCCAGTTGTTCATCTGAAAAAAAAAAGAAAGTTATTAAAAACATACTATTTTCCCTGCATTTTTAGACTTTTGGAACAATGTTGAATGTATTTTTAAGATTACTTATTGTTTCTATATGCCTTCTTAAATATTTAGATTCTTTTTTTTCTTTTTTTTTATTGGTTGTTCAAAACATTACATAGCTCTTGACATATCATATTTCATACATTAGATTCAAGTGGGTTATGAACTCCCATTTTTACACCAAATACAGATTGCAGAATCACATCAGTTACACATCCACATTTTTACATAATGCCCTATTAGTAACTTTGTATTCTGCTACCTTTCCTATCCTCTACTATCCTCCCTCCCCTCCCTAGATTCTTAAAAAATGGGAAAAAAAAAGATTCAGGAAAAAAAGTATGGCTTCCAGACCTTAGGTAGAAGGTATCACTTAGAAAGTGGTACCTTAGCTTAGAGCCACCATCAACCTTTTCCTTTGTGGTTTCTAGCTTTGGTCTTATGTTTAAATAGGCATTCCCCACCCAAAAATTATACAAATAGTTACTGTTGTTTTCTTCTGGTGGTATTATAGTTTCTATTTTTTACATAAGAATATTAAATTCAATTGGAATTTTATGAATATTCTTGTAATATGAAAAATGGAATCTGACTTTATTAAACTGACTGGTTTGCCTACCAACATTTATCAAAGCATCCAATAATTCTTGAACTCAACTAGGATTCAGCCAAATGAATATTTACTTTCTGAGATGTCATTTTAGGTTATTCACTTCTTTAAAGTAGCTAGTCATTTGATAGATTTTTATTGAACAATATTATAAGTCAGTGCTGTTGGACCCTCAGGATGCAGGAAAATAAGACCCAGTGTCTACCTTCAAAGACCTCAACAGACTACTTTGAAAGAGGAGCAAATGAAGATAATAAACACTTGGTGGACTGAGGTGACCTTGGTACTTCTAAGGTACACCTAAATGAATGGAGTTAAACAGATGGGAAGGAGAAGAGAAGAGTAAAGTGAGCCTTTCTGAGGGAAGAGATCTTGAGCTTAGTGACAATAGAAATTCCCGTTTCAGAAGGAATGGCCTATGCAGAGATTTCTAGAGACTGTACATTGTTCAGTTATAGCACAAGCAGTGGGAGAGTGAGTAGTTGTGAATAGACCATGATGAAAATGGGTTGCCAAAGACCAAATTAAAAAGAAAATTTTTAATGGTAAGGATTTAATTCAGAGCCAATATAGTGAGCAACATGCAAAAGCAATCAATCATTACTGTATAATTACACTCAGCAAGAAGAGATTGAAGGATGTTTCTGTGTAATGACATAGTTCTCCTAAGAGAACAGCTTTGAGGGGAGCAATAGTCATTTGACTACGTGCTCTAGTATGTGTGTTAAGATTGTTCATGATTTCTTGTCATACTCCATACATAGAAATAAAAGCACTCAGCCAACATCAACTTAAAGAGGTATTGAGTCTGTGCCAAGAATTATGGGACGTGACAAATGGTAAAAGGTATCATATAACCTATGCTAGCAGAGAATGACGTTATCAGACTCTGGGGAGAATAGGTCCTTTGCCACCTTTTTAAAAGTTAGAATGACAACAGTGTCTCAGGGTGACTGGTGGAGTGTCATTTCTCTGGGAAACTGTCTGCTATTATACACATGTTTTCTTTTTTTAAAAAAAATTTATCTTTTAGTTGTAGGTGGACACGTAATATCTTTATTTCATTTTTATGTGATGCTGAGGATTGAACCCAGTGCCTCACATGTGCTAGGTGAGTGCTCTACCACTGATCCATAACCCCAGCCCTATATACATGTTTTCCACAGGGAAGAACCACTGGTAGCCTGGGAGGTATTAATTACTACATACATTTTCTTTTCTTTTTTGATGATGATGATGATGTGTTGGCAACTTTTCCACATGGAAGCCATGGACTGGGTATATATTTTATAACCTATTTCCATTCTCCACCAGGCCCACTCTTCCTTGAAAGTATGAGAATCTTGTTCTACCTTCTGTGCAACACACAGATTCTTGGATAGCTCTTTCTGCTTCTTTGTGCTTTGTTATTCCCATTGCTAATCCTTCCTCCTTCATCAAATCAGTCTCCCTGCATCTCTTCAACATTAAGAAATTTTGATGTGCTATTCTGTACTAAGAGGCCATGTTGTACTCCTACAAATTGTTTTGGTAAATAATTAAAAGAGCATCTCCTTCCGTGGCTTTGTCTGGTGTTCTACTTTAAGTCCTGCCTGACAGATGACACAATCAAGGTAACTAGTAAGAGGAGAAAATTCTTATCAGGGTTATTACTAGCCTATGGTACAATTTTATGCAAAATAATCATCAGAGTCCCTTCTGTCTAGATGAAGCACCTTGGGGCATGGTTGGTGATCTGAATGCTGCCTTTTCTAATTCTCACATATACACCTTTGCATAAATTTTCAAAATATAGTCTTTACTTCAGGGCAGATAGAGCCTTGCTCCAGAACATGCAGCTCGAGAAATGGAATGGTTCTTCAGTTGAATGCTGCTCACCTGCTTACAACCTGATCACTTAAACAGACTGGTCCACTAATATCTTGGAATTGAATGTAATTCTTTTACAAAAGAGCTCCTTTATTCTGTTAATAAAGCATTTTTTTGAGGATTTGTTCTGAACATGAAATACAGTTTCTGGATACATTCATACATGGTACTTAATAATTGCTCACAGAGCTTTCTTCTCATCCTTGACCTGAGATAAATGAGAGATGCTGAAGAATAAGACATTTGAGATAATACTAAGAAAACACTTGTGTAAGTTCAAATTTCAGAAGGCATAAGATGCATTAAGTAAAACCTCTTGCATG